AATTAAAAGAGAATAAAAAAGAGACACACGGCCGGAAGTGCATCATTCCGGCGCGATTTTTTCTGCAAATTATATTGCTTACCTCGTTTAATTCGGGCTCCGCTTGTAAATTAAGACGTCCTTGTTCGGGCTCGGCCGAAGGAAGAGGAGATTTTCCACAGGAAGTTGCTTCTTTTGTCGTTAATGAGAATTCCACGAAGCAAACCTATCATTCGACCTAATTTTTTAATTAATATTTGTCCCTCTATTACTAGTGCAGGATGCTCTATGAGCGATTAAATGTTCGCTTTGATGGAACATTCTGATGTATACAGAGTGTACGAATTCTTCCGCTGCAAGCGTTAGAATTAGAATCTCAATCAATACTATAAGATAGTAAAGAACAGAAACTTGTTTATCGGTTGCCGGCCGATATTTGAATTCGTCAATTCGCTTCGCTTCGTCCACTAGCGAATAGCGGGGATAGCGGGCGTGACTATTTCGTATGTTCTCTTTATTCCTTACATAGCAAAAGTTAAATTAGCTATCTCATTATTCTCATTATATGCTTGCAGCGGATCAGTTCGTACATACTGTATAAATTTGGAATACTTTGAGATTTATACCTGCCAAAATAGGTATAAGTAAATCAAGTGTGCAAAGTAATAAACAAATTTCTAACTGTGCCAATTTTGTTTTGCCGAAAGTTGTGGTACATTCTATTAGATAGTGCGTACTAATGGATGGATTTATTACCGAAGTTATTCGTATGAAGTAGACATAACGGGGTCAATGTCGAATAAGCGCGTTTCGAAACGAAAAAAACGAGAAAAAAAAAAGATAATGAGATGGCTCTAATTGCGAAACGGTTATGTTTGCTTTAAACATTCAACAATGATTACCTACTGGTGTATTGTTTGATGGAATTGTGCGGATTTCGAGAATTCGGACGTTCTCTTCGAGTATAGTTGGAAATTTATTCCTTGAACGGTCTGTCACATGATTGCATTTGTTGTTGTAGAATATTGTATTTCATAGAAATTAATTGATGGTAGAAAATTAAATAAAATTTTTCTTACTGCTTTATTCAAAGAAAATCGTGAAAGAAAAGATAATTATTCGTTTCGTTACAAATTTGCATTCGCAATTTGAGATTTATTTATAGACGGTGTTGTTGTGTATTTTTTTGAGTGCACGAAATTATCCAGAAATTCTCTCTCATGTTCTGTGTATTAATACTATTAATATAGTGTTGGAAATTCCGCTTTGATGTACGTTCCGCCGATTATAATGAAGCGGACAGCCTTTATAATAACGAAAACAAAGCAGCCTATCGATTCTGCTGCAAACAAATTCCCTTATAAAATGCTATTTAATTGCGCTCCTTATAAACAAAATTACCCCACATAAATGTGTAACCGTTTGAAAAATTCGATAATCGATAAAAAGTAATCTACCTAACATTATTTTTAATTTTTTTTTACGTATTTATGTAAACGTGTTTTATGTTTCCGGAGACTATAATAATTTTTATTATTGTCCTTTATGTATCGAACAGCGGAAATGTGTATAGTTACTGTGTCGTTTTTATACATCTATAAAAACAAGCATTAACCTTTTGACATTACCCATCGGATTTTATCGCTTTCTTATTATTCGTATGAGGTTTATTGGAATTAATAACGAGATGAAAATGCTGTCGATATATTTATCATTGAGAATAATAAAATTGACAGCGGAGTAGACAGTGCGTTGTTTTTAGAAGATGTTTATAGAACATGTATTGATTAAGTTTCAATTTAATTTTCTATACCTAATAAAAGTTGAAATAGGTATGAATTGTAGCGATTCAAAAAATGAGAATTTTGGTGGAAATGATTTTATTCGAAATATTGGCGGAGGAACCGGTATATCCATTGGATTTCAAAAATGGGACTATAATCTTTACATTTTATCATTAAAACTAATGAGGTATATCTAATTAAAAAAAATCATATAAATAAACCAGCAGCATGCATTTCTCGATACTTTTATTCTCGTTCACCGAACCATATTTTGCACGATTTTTTTTTGTACGCCAATTTGACCGACATTTTACCCTAACAAACGACAAATTTATTGAGTATCGCTAATACGAGTTGGGTAAAAACATCGGTCAAACATGCGTACGAATAAGCTATAATTTTGCATGTTATTTATTTTTTTATTTTTCGCCTCATTCTTGGTTTTTCTGCTCGAATCATAGGTCACGCAGGGCATCTCAGGATGTCGGAAGGGTCACGAATAAGGAGTTTCCTGGCATGCGGTATGTATACTATTCATCTAATCACGCTTATTCGTCAAAAATCATGCAGGTCCCCAAAGAAATTACTTAGAAAATATGTAGTTATTTTTTTTTGGAGATCTCGTGCTTTATATTCCACTTTAAATACGCCATTAACTCGGCTAAACGTGTATACATTGCATTGTTTCAAAAACCCATAAGGAAGCACAATAATCTAATTTAAGTGCACTTTTATAGTTGTATCAAAACGTTTAGCCGAAAATAATGAATTTTAATATTCCATTATGTTACGGCGTCGCTGCGAAATTAACCATAATAAATCGTTCGGTTTCCAACATTTGCACGTTTCATCTCGTCCGGAATTAAAAGCGGGTATAACAGTGACTAAACAACCATTTCGTAGAGTTAAATGTGACGTTTGTTAGCCGCAAACGGGTCGAATTAATTTGTTATATATTTCTGTTTATTTTTTTAGGAGCAAAAGCAGGAGCGTCGATCACGGTATAACGTCACCGTTCGATTTGGACGCGCTCCGGGCGAAAGTCGACGGCCAATTCGACAGGAGCCTCGATAGAGGTACGTGAGAAACTCAATTTTTTATCTTTTATACTCCATTCGCTATCAAGAGATTGTATTGAAACTAATGCAAAGTATGCAAAAGACAGCAGGAGTGAGTCAACGAAAAAATACATCACCTGATAGCGAACAGACTATAATTGAAACATTTTTTATATAAATATATAGCCTGGAACATTTAGAATGTAACAATTCTGCGTAAATACCTAACTTTAATAGATAGTACATGAACATAATTTAAAAAACATCCTCTCATCGAAGTAACGGTACATTTTTCAGTCGACTAATAATACGCTAAAAATCCCTTATTAAGCTTCTAAGGGTGCACTTGTTATGCTCATTCGGAAGGGATTACATTGTCGGATTTCGTTCGTTACAAAAGCGAAAAATCTGTTTCGATAATTAGCGAGAGAATGCGACTCGCTGCTCGTATATACGGGCGGGAATGCGGGTTAATTGGATGCACTAGATAAAAATTTATGTGTATCACACAGCCCGATCCGATTATGGGTTTTAGTTATGGCTTTGCATCGGCCGGCCAATTACCGTCGGAGACACGATGAACTAAATCTTTATGTCGATTGATACAATTAAATGTATCGGTCAGCCGGCGAGAGGTGTAGATTTTATGGATAGGCCGGCAAGGTTGTACGTGAATCGATTGAAAATGCGGTTTTTTTTTGCGGTGAAATAATTGATAAGGCGCATAAATCACGTTTCTCTTCGATTTCTCTCTAATTTATTAGTTAGTAGTTTCTAACTATTTTTAATAGTTCCTCTGATTTATTCGAATAGAAGTCATTTAAATATCACAAATTAGTTCCCAAACTGCAATCCTTCAGGAATATGAAACTATCCTTCCCTACTCTTTATCATTCTATATCGTTCTCCCATCTTTCCTATATACTCTTCCCTACATCTCCTTATCCTTTATTAACCTTCTAGATGCTCCTTCAACAATATAACATCCTCACAACAACTTCCTGTTGCCCAAGAGAAGAGTTAATAATAGACAAATTTTGCTCGTTTTTTTTATAAGGTACGCATAAATCACGTTTCTCTTCGATTTCTCTCGACTAAATTTAGAATATCGATAGCGATTTTTGTCGTAATTACTAATGGAATTATGAACGAAATCCTTTGCAAAGCTCATGTTGCTAATTCCATTTGAATTCCGTTCCGATTTCGAATGCCTAGGTCTCGAGCACTCCCGCGAGACGCGATGCTCGTATTGCTCCCTGCGAGGCAGTTCCATTAAATTAATGTTAGCAATTCCGCGCAATTAAATTTCCCGTGATTTATCGTCGGAACGTTGCTGGGCGGAAAAATAAACGATCAACATACAAAACATGCCGGATTTGGAAAAAATAAAACGTAATTATTATCGAGATTTTGTTTGGTTTTCGTCGAAATTAAGCACCTTGCTAATATGTGCATATAGATCATCACGCGTCCATAAATTACCCGGCATGTGACAACAAACGTAGTAGATATTTTTGGATACAAAGATTATAATTTACTTTATATTGGGATTAAACGTTTTGTACGGTAAAATTTGAGCAAATTTAGTTGTCGCATTAGAACCTATTATTATTTAAATGTCTGTAACACACACACTCAAAAATTCATATTAAATTCAGTAAACATCGATTATATACTGAACTCTTCTTATACATTTTATAAATATCTAATAATTGTAACACAGTCTATATTGGAATACTATACAGTGTGGACCAAAAGTCCGTCGCCCCCCCCTTTAACTTTTGAATGGCAAGAGCTTTTGTCGCGAAATTTGCGGTGTTTATATTGGAGTAAAAATACTATTTTTTGACGTAAAAATGACAGTTGAAACTTTCAAAATGACAGTTAGGCGCCATTTTGAATCTTTTTTTCTTATGAAAAGGGGGTCAAGTAACACCTCGTATTAAAGGTAATTTCATTCTTAAGTCAACCCCCAAATTTGAAAACATTTTATTAACGCGTATTCACGTGAAGACCAATTTAGTCTTAACCCCCGGGCATATTGATACATTTAAAAATTAATTCTGAACGTACTATAAAATGTGTCAATTAATTGTTTCTATGGTTTTTTGGCTCTGACATTTATTTGTCAAATTTAAAGTTGAGGAAATTGACAGTTTTTTCGTTTAAAGGACGAGCCATTGCGAGCAGGTGTGTGTATATTCGTCTCGTTAGCGATCCCAATCGAAACTTAGAGAAATCATTATCTATTCGCATAATCAAACAATTAAAACTCGCAATAATAACGAACAACGTCACGACACGAGCGCTGCGCTAATTTATCAGTCATACATCAGCGATGCTGTCGCATCGAACGTGGATATTTAATATCGTTCTCTTGACGTTTTCTCTGTAATAACACGAAGGGAATCCGTTCCAGTGAGCTCTGTTTCTGTTCGTTAAGTATGTACAAAAGATAGGGGAACAATAATCTGGTAGTCTGGATTATACTATCGCGAGCAATATAATTCCCCAGAGGTTAATGTTACAAAACTAACCTCAATCACAATGCACTATCCGAGCGAATCGTGTAGCGCGCAAATAAATACAACAGAATAAAAATGACGAATGAAATTTCCAGTCTATTCGTCGACTTGACCTTAAGAATTTAATTTGTAAAAATATCGAATTCTCGTTTATTCAGCGGAAGAATATAGCCGCGTGTCGTTGCACCGGTACATTCGCGCGAGGTTTCATCGCCGACCAATCAGCATTTCGTCTTATCTATCAGTAGTAGGCCGCATTTAATAAACGCAACCCGTCGAGGTTCTCTTCTCGTCGGTTTTTATCGAAATCGGCGGCGTTTCGGATAGAACCCACGTTCGCTGTCGTGCAATTTACCGGTGGCGAAATGTAATCGAAAACATGAACTTCATCGAAGATCACTACGCGTTCGATCATCCGCCGTCGATCGCCTACGGTATACCGACCTTCGGAGGGTTCCTGGATTTCGTTATCGTCTCTAAGACGACAATCGACGGGTTCGAAGGTTGTTATTACTTACTTATCGATCGTTCGATTTTATGCATGCCCGCCTTAATATGTATTTTTGTGCGTTTTTAAGCGTTTGTTCGTTTGCATTGCAGATTTGGATGGATCCACTAATAGCTTGCTGGAGAGGCGGAAACTCGGTCCACCCGAAAACACCACTGTATACACCGTAAGTACGCTTTTATTAGAATCAGGAGTATAAAACTACTCTTCTCTATCGCTCCAAATCGTTCCCCATTCTTCCCTATCCTTTCCCATTATTTCCTGTCTTTTCCTATCCTTCCCTATCCTTTCCCATTCTTTTCTGTCTTTTCCTATCCTACCCTATCCTTCCCTATCCTTCCCTATCCTTCCCTATCCTTCCCTATCCTTCCCTATCCTTCCCTATCCTTCCCTATCCTTCCCTATCCTTCCCTATCCTTCCCTATCCTTCCCTATCCTTCCCTATCCTTCCCTATCCTTCCCTATCCTTCCCTATCCTTCCCTATCCTTCCCTATCCTTCCCTATCCTTCCCTATCCTTCCCTATCCTTCCCTATCCTTCCCTATCCTTCCCTATCCTTCCCTATCCTTCCCTATCCTTCCTTATCCTTCCTTATCCTTCTCTATCCTTCCTTATCCTTCTCTATCCCTTCCTATCTTGAAATATTCTTCCCTACGTCGATTAATAACCTTTCTTACCCTTCTCAAATGCTCCCTTAAGAATACAGGTTAATCCTCACTTCAACTTCCCGTTGTCCAGGAGCTACTGATTGACAATTTTTGTTGATTTTTTTTTTGTATTTTTAGGTAGCCGATAGGGATACTTTGACGTCGGTGGCGGCGAGATTCGACACCACCCCGTCGGAATTGACGAAATTGAATCGGCTGGCGACGCCGTACATATTTCCCGGTCAACAGTTGTACGTGCCGAACAGGGAGCAGGCGGAAAACGATTCGGAGGGTTCCACGCCCGTCGAGGATTCGCACGATGATCTGCCGCCCGCGGAAAAAGGTAAAAAAAAGGCGCGAAAAACGACGGGGTTTTTCTGCAGATGAAAAAGAGTGTATCTGACTGCGGGGAGGTGAAATATTTATGTTATTGGTAGATATCGGGGTGTTTCGAAACTGTCTAAATCCTCTTAAAGGATCTCGTGAGTATTCGGAGAGAACGGTTGATAAGATTTTTGCTGGTAAATCATTCCTACGTTATTTTCTTCTTTGTTTGTTTATGGGCAACATTCGTAACTATACTCTGTTCGTTATCAGGAGATAAAAGTTTCTTGAAGCGGTAAATCATAAGCGCCTCGATAAGTTAATAAAAAGTAGGCACTATTTAATTAAAAAATTGATGTTATAAGTAATTTTTAATTTCTTAATATCATTTTTAAAGCACGACTATGTACTGTGTTCAAATCACTTTATCTAATTGTAAGATTAGAAAAGGGTCGCCTATAGTTAAATACTCTCTATAGAATCTCTCTATAGTCACTAGAATTTCGTTTTAATAATCTCTCCTGATAGCGAACGGAGTAGAACGAAATAGTAAATCGATTGGATGTACGATTATAGATTATACGAGAACACGAGGAAAGAGTACGATTATTATGTAGTTCCACATAAAATGTGGTAGAACGTTAAAATATTTATTATCAGCTGTTTAAAATTACTTAACTTGAGCAAATATAACGCGGAAAAAAGCGACCACGTTTATACCTTATCAGTGCGTTTTAGTACATCACCAGCGGGCTATCAAATAAGGTTTAGTGTGAAAAAAAAATCGACCAGTTGAAAACAATGCGATGATTATATGTTCGTAAATATTAAAAAAAACACACACAAACCAACAATCACAAAATCGCCCACGCACCGGCGTTGGTTCGTTCGCCGAGTTTATTAATAAACAGTAATATTTCGCCGTCGATAAATGTACTTATTTTGTAGCGTTCGTCTCGCCATATTGTGATAGTTTCAGTTTTTTCAACACGCGACAGATCTCGCATTTACCGGCGTAAAGATATAACGAGTGATGATAATCGAGTCCTAATTGCGCTGGTGTCAGATCGTCGAGATAACATTAAATCTACAATCAGTTATGTCATATGTTGGTCAGGTGGTTTTGAGTTTTCTATCGTGCAATGTTCCTTCGCGTTTGGCTATCTATAGATGAAAAATAATGTTTGTAGTGAGTTTACATTTAATTATAAACGATTTAAAATTTACTTATCTGGTATATTATTTCAGAACAACATTGCATAACCTCATATTTTGATGCTAATTAATTTCGATCTCTATTAAAATTAGTGTGACGATTGCGTTATCTTATCGTCTTGGTTTTGTTATTGTTTTTACGCCGGTATAATTCGAGCGGGGGGGACGATTTATATAAATTATTTCAATAACATATGTTTGTTATGCTCGATACGATTTTTGCGAATTTATCCAAAGCTAGTTGTATAAAATTTGATTTTAATAATCTCGACTGTAAGCATCATTGAAGATGCGCGATTAAATTAGGAAAATATAAATATTATGCGCGATAATCATCGTCATTGAACCGGTACACACGCCGACCCGAAGAACGCGCCGAAAAAAAACAAAAACCAGTAAAAAAAATGTACAATTTGGCCGCTATTGTCACCAGCTACGTTTCAGAGCTCCTCGAAAACCTGCGGCCCGTCAGCCCGAAGCCGGGCCACGTGGAGCGCGTCCGCACGCCCTCCTGCCCCGGCAGCGGCGGCGGCGCCTCCGCCGACTTCGAGGACTCCGAGTCGGCCGTCTTTCGCGAGCGCTTCCTCAAGATCAACGTGCGCCACATCACCGACGGCCAGGGCGTCGTCAGCGGCGTGCTGCTCGTCACCCCCAACGCCGTCATGTTCGATCCGAACGTCATCGATCCGCTGGTGATCGAGCACGGGCCGGAGGCGTACGGCGTGATCGCCCCCATGGAGTTCGTCGTCAACGCGGCCATCTACAACGACATCGCCCACATGCGGGTGGGCCACTGCGAGACGAGCTCCGCCGGCGGCGACAAGCAGGAGATCTACTATCCGAAGAGCGAGAAGGAGGAGGAGCAGGATTCGATGATGGTTAAGGACGAGACGTTTCCCGAATTAGGTGAGTGGTTTTTTTTCTTCTTTAGGTTGTTTTGGTAATGGCATCGGTTTGTTAGTCGCAGGCGATGACGCCGAGTCGGTGTGTTCGTGTACTGAACGCGAAGGGGACGCTTTTCCGAAGGCTTTCGAACGGGATTTAGTCACACCTACGAATTTAGAAGATTCGGATAATAATCCGAAAACGGCGGAGGAGAGACGGAAGTCGCTGTTGGATCACCATTGGGCCATACCTTCAAGAGATAGAGCGTAAGATAGTGTGGTGATTTCGATAAAGAATCGTTAATATTTCGTTCAATTTTAGATCGATAGATACAGATGAAATGCCGGCCGTAACGCCGCCGTGTTTGCCGGAAGAACAAGATCAAAAAGACGACGATAATAACAAAGAGAGTTGCCACGATTCGGGAATCGATATTAGAGAAACTAGTTTACCGCCAGTACCACCGCCGCAAGTAAAAAAAGTACGTATCCCAAACACCGATAGCGCCACGATTTTATTTTTCTCTCGTAGCCCAATCAGTTTTTTTTGTCGCACCTTATGATTTTGCATGATTTATCGAGTCCGGAATTATTTTAGAAATACAGTGATGCAGATATTGTTCTCTCGAAGGATTGGGTGCCGCCCATCACGATAGCCCCTACGAACATGAATCTGTCGAGCGACACGATCGACACGCAGGCGCGGAAGAAAACGAATTCGGTATCGTTCAGTTTGGATTCCAGCTCGGAGGCGGACATGGCGAATCAGCTGCCGCCCCTCTCCGCCGGCGCGCTGGAATCCAAGGACGACGGAGAAAAGGCTGATAGTAGGAAAAATAAGGTAGACATTATTGTAGTCAATTCGCCATCAGGAGAAATTTATGTACAAAAGACAATGGTCCGTATTCAGCGCCTCTGAGTTATTTTTTAAGTCGCGTCTTTAACTTGTTGTTATGGAGTAACTAAGGAGATTCTTTCAAATTGACAGTTTTACATTGTTGTTATGGAGTAACTAAGGAGATTATTTCAAATTGACAGTTTTACATTGTTGTTATGGAGTAACTAAGGAGATTCTTTCAAATTGACAGTTTTACATTGTTGTTATGGAGTAACTAAGGAGATTATTTCAAATTGACAGTTTTACATTGTTGTTATGGAGTAACTAAGAAGATTATTTCAAATTGACAGTTTTTCATTGTTGTTATGGAGTAACTAGGGACTCGAGACGCGACTTTAGAGTCGCCTAAAGTTAAACAGAGGCGCTGAATATGGGCAAGTATCTCCCGATGGTCCGATGGAACGTTGATATTGAATCGATGTAATCTTGATTGTAGATGTTGAAAAGACTGTCGTACCCTTTGTCTTGGGTGGAATCGACCCTCGGAGGCGAAAAGGACGAAGACAAAACCCCTAGTCAACCCCATTCGGCCGCCGACGTTCAACATTCATCGGTTTTCTCCAAAGTATTTTCGAGGTAAATGTGTGCTTAAGCCCCGTTCGAAATGGACGATTCGATTTGTATACTAACGAACGTTTCTCGGCGAAAATTAACCACTTTGGTTTGGTGCCTTTCTGCCCCGCACAGCTCGCCCATACACCTGTCGGATTTCGGCGCGGGCCTGTTCCACAAGACGCCGTCGGAGGACAGCGGCTCGGGCGGCTCGGCGGGGCCGCAGTCGGGCGGCAGCGGCGGCCCGCCGCTGACCGGCGACTCGACGTCGAGCAGCTTTTTCCCGACGAACATCATCAGTTCGGTGGGCGCGATGGGCGCGCAAGTCGGCGCCCAGGTGGGCGCGATGGGGGCGCACGTGGGCGCCCACGTCGGAGCGATGGGCGCGCAGGTCGGCGCCTCCGTCGGAGCGATGGGGGCGACGGTGGGCGCCATGGGGGCGCACGTGGGAGCCTCGGTGGGCGCTGTGGGGTACGTGTGTGCGTGTCTAGGTGGATGTGTGTGTTGCGCTTGCGTTGCACGAGATTTCTTTTTGTCTTGTATTTTGTATACGGATATTTTTTATACGAAACGTTTGTACACCTTATACACACACACATACATACACGCAACGTGAACACTATACGTTTTCCCCTTACCTCCCCCGGCTTTTTTTTTGATGTAGTGAACGTGATTTACACGCTTTTCTATAAATGTAATCTGAGTTTCTATATCTTTTTAGTTTCGTATTTTTTTTAAATACAGCTAGTTATTCTTTGTAGTCGTTTATTTGTAATGAGGAGTTCCTGAAACCTACCACGAGAGACGTCTTCGAGGAGTATTTTATTGCGATTCTATCTTTCTTCCATTGTGTATTTGTTTAGAAATAGCCACTTTAAAGAGTGTTCAAAAATGACATCCTAATATTTAAGGGGGTGATTCCTGGACCTATTCTAAGGAAAAAACATCATATGAACCAATGTCTTAAACGTCTTAACTTTTGAGATACAAGGAGATACAAGTTTAAGAAAAAAAGTCAATTTTTTTGTAATAACTGTGATACTATTGTAGATATCTTTATGAAATTTGGCACACGTCTTCTATGAATCAAGATGCATTTTCTGATGTACAGAAAAATTTTATTATTTTCAGCAGTGGCGTCCGTACGAGTTTTGCATTGAATATTTTTGGAGAAAAAAATGGTACGCCACTGCCTAATATTGAAATAAAAATTATTTTCGGAATCCTCATTCAATTTAGAACAAAATTGATTTCCTCACTTTTTTCCGTACGACTCATCGTTTCGCATTAAAAAAAATAAATACATTTTAAAAATAACTTTTAGGTTTAGGACATAAGTTCATATACATTTTTTTTCCTAAAATGGATCCAAGAATCACCCCTTTAAATATTAGCACGTCAATAAGGAACATCCTTTATTTACCTACTAACTAATCTTACTAATTTCGCGTGAGGAAGAAGGCGAGAATTGAAGGAATCTTTCTGATGTTTTTAGGCGATCATCTGTGGGTACTTTCATGAGGCAATCGACGGAGAGCAGTACCAAATCGAAAGCGCCCGTACCGAAATTGGATTACAGGTCGATGGTGTCCGTCGAGGACATGCCGGAATTGTTTGTATCGTTCGACAGTAAGTATGACAGTACCTTTATATTCACGTAAATCGCAGGGACATTTGATTGTAAATAAATATGAAATTAACAGTCTTACAAGATTAATCGGGTTATGATTCATTTGAGACTTGGTTTTTCTTCATATACTGCCACGACAAAAATTATATATAACACGAATTCATTCGACAGCTATGTAAAACAAATTATTATGTATGTTTTTCATTTTTTCTGTTTAATCGCTGCTGCTCGTTCCTATCATGGGTTAGAATATCTTGGTAGGTCTGCATGCTCTACATTATCATCCTCACGACCGATCTTGATTAAATTCACCGCAAAAAGTTGTATTATTTACTCAAGAACGGTCAGTATATCCATTATTCACCGACATTCAACACTACACTATGTACTCGAAATGACTCTTATACAAAGTTTGCATAAATGATTGATTCACACGTGACCAAATTCCCAAAAAAGACCAAAAAAAAGTTACTAGAATAGTGTCATTAATGTCAAGTCAATGTCAACTCGATTGAAAGCATTTCTTGAAAATAATAACAACAGTGCTCTTCGGATTGCATAAATTTTTAGGCCACGTGGGAATCAATCAATAATGAAGAATCTGTACCACGGCCGTATATTTCTAAGGTCTGGAAACATAGGTCGAAAAAGTGTCCAGTTTGAGGATAAAACGGGGTTGAGAAAAAAGAAAGGTTTGATTCAAACTAAAAATATATACAAAATATAAAAATATACATACTTAAATCAACGATGATTTTGTTGTTAACATCATGCCTCACGTATCTTCGGTTAATGTATTTCTCCATTTTCTCCTCGAAATGTCAAGTAATAATTTTTGAAGTTTTGACAGCTTGAACTGTCGTTTCACACAACTGCGATTTATATGTAGCACGACGCTGATTGGCTGAGAGAAGTTGGTCCTCCGATCGTTCGCCACGTTGCGGTGCAAAAGTGAAGCTCAAAAAGTCTTCAAATCACTGAACACTTTCTCTAATACAAAATAGGCTGTTTCCAGACCTTACAAATATACGGTCGTGCTCTGTACCAATCACTGTATATTTTTGTACGGTGTACTTGTCTTATTATAGAAATATGAAGTGTACAAACTTCATATATCTTTACGAAGCTTCTTTACTTACTCGAACTGACGAGAAAATCGGTTTTTATTTCCTCGTTTCTCCGTTGCAGAACTGATCCCGAGGCCGGCTAGATCGTGCGACGATCCGCCGCTGTACCTCAGATTGCGAATGGGCAAACCCTTGAACAAAGTTATACCGCGATCCACGCCCTTGATGTCCTACGGGAAGAAGAAGATGCGACCGGAGTATTGGTTCGGGGTGCCGAAGAACCGCGTCGACGAACTCTACAGGTTCATACAGGCTTGGGTGCCCCATTTGTACGGAGAACTGAACGAAGAAAAGGTCAGTTGTACTTACTACGTTAAGGCGCGTTTAGAGGAGGGAATCGCGATTGATGTCTCAATCTAATTGTTGTAATACACGCTCGTTTACGTCGAAGTTTGAACGGCTTGCATCTTATGAAATATTTATCGTAAGGAGATTCGATCAATAATTCAATGCGAGTCTGGCTTATCCTCTGCGGCGATTGATGCTGAATTATTCATGGCGAATCCGCCGCGAAACCACGACGCCTGGAACTAAAAGAGAGAAAAAAAAATGAATTATCATTTTAATTAACGACGGTAATTATACGTATCAACGCCTGCTGTGCGAGTAGCTAATAAAAATTTGACGGGACGCGATTTTTTTTAGCATTCTATCGCATTCGAAATCGAAAAATTTTATTGATGTTTGGAATTGCCTCGTTTGCATTTCTGTTATAAATCCTTGTTTTTTTATATTACCGGATTAATCGAATTTTGATTAGGAAATCTCCTTCGAACGAACCGGAAACACTTGCGTTTTGTTTGCATATTTATTTTTATACACGCCGATATCATTATCACAGGGTAACGATATCTTAATTAGTAATTTATTATATTTATACTCCGTTCGCTAACAGAAGATGCTAATAAAATCTTCTCAAACTAAGCGCGCCAACAACTGAATCAGATATCAATAGAAGCGAAATTGTAGATGATTTTTAGTTTTATAATATCCTTTTAGTATAATGGTGAAAGCCTTAAAATTTTGAAATTTTATAAATTTTTCATTGATTCACACATTTGCATACAAAATTACTTCCTATTACAATCTCCTGATGACGAACGGAGTATTAATTCTTAAAATTCGCTGGAATTTTCGACGAATCGACCGCACTATAAACGAATCCGGGTCATCATCTCACTAATTTAGGCATATAGCAATCCTACTTCCATATTCGCTTAGTTAATTCAATCTTTATTTGTGCCGCGACTTACGTGTACGAACACTTCACCAGGCGATTTCAGTTTTAATTTCTTCCTCGATAGAAACATTACTAGTTATAAACGGAAATTATCGCTCGATTGGACGATGTACGTGTACCAAAAACCAAACAGTTTAGTTAAGAAAAAGATCTTCGAGGACACTCGATTAATGAAATGAATACCAGCGAGTTTCTGTTCGAATTCGGTGATGTTTCGTTATTACCTCCGACGTTTGTGATTACATCCGATCCGGAGGATTTGTATTCATTAAAAATTGACGAGAGTAATTTTTTGTCTAGTGTTCGGTTGACAGATCGACAACAAATTAAGTGATGGTTTAATAAGTGTGTGTCTACCACATGTCGGATGAGGTCGAATGGGAAATAAATGTTCGACGTGACGAACTGGTTCTTCCTGTTAGTGTGGTCGAATTGTTCGAAAATTTAGCATACTTGGTAAGGTGTAAAAATCTTGCAAAAAAATTGATGGATTTAGTGAGCAGTAGGGCTAGTACAATCCTGTGTAGAACAATACAGTTTCTTGAAGTGTAGTTATTGATATTGAATTATGATTTTCATTATTTATACATTTAACATTCGGGTTTACAAATAACAGGAGAATGATCGGTCATAACCTAGGGCAAATTGCACGCATTGAAAAACAGAATTATGTGAAAAAGTGAAAACAAAAATCTGTTCCTGCACTATTACTGAACGTGTATTACATGACTTATACGCCGTCATGCCGTACTCGTTGAATATTGATATTTAGGTACTCGCAGTCGATTTGGTATTTACCTTCCTGTGTTAACAACGCTGTTTTTGTCGTGTTCGCTTCGTTTTGAATATTTCTCGCCATTGTACGTATTAATTCGATGTTAATAAACCACAGTTTTTTTCTTCCCTGTGCGAAATTAGTAGGTGTGAGTTGCAAAGGCGGTATGAATAATATTCTAATGAGCGTTCGGAATTGCGTTTGAGAATGTTTCGATTTGTTTTATTGCTATTTTATTAGTTGTTGTTGCCGTAAGTAATGTTTGGGATGAGTTTTGGTACGTTCTATTAAAAGAATTGTACTGTAAAAAGTAGTAAAAAAATGGTGATGTGTTGTGTGAAGATGGAGAAAATAGTTTGATTGCCGATGTAAAAATTCCAGCACGAAAACACGTAGAAAAAAGCGGTTTTTATTACATTACATCCAATTGCCGTAAAAATTTTTTACGACGTCGATTATATGTTAAGTAATTAAAAAAGAAATGCGTTACATTATATCGATTTGATTACTTACCTACGGATTCGAAAATAACACCGTTCGGCCATTAACGAAATCAAAACAAACCTCTGCCTATACATCTTCTTTTAATTACAAACGCGTTTGACGTCACTTCATGTAAATTGGGCGCGGATTTAAAAAAAAAATTAAACCCGCTTTGATTTATTTCTGTTATGCAAAATTCTGCGACGGGCAAAAAAATTGTAATAACAATCCTGACATTCATTTGACCTCGGATATGGTTATAAAAAAGTATATTAATTTTATTAATGAATCCATCGTATAAAAAGGTAGATTATTAGGTAGATAGAAAAATTTGATGGAATATGAGAATATCTGAACAATTCCCAATAAAAAAATGTTCTAATTATTATTATGGTTCAAGTTAGCTGCATAAAACATATTTTTTTATCTTTTTAAGTGAATGTAAAATATTTTTTTTAATTTGCATTTATTACGCTCGACAAATGCATATGCAATTTTCTCTTGATTAGCAAATGATCGATAATTGCGAATTACCGGCGCTCAAATTGCTCGAAATGTTTCAGGTTTCAGAACCGGGCCCGTTTCGAACAATTAGAATACAATTTAACGTTTTTATTCATTATTACCAGCACGAGTAGACGCGTAAATAACAACAATTCGAAACATCCTGTCAATACTCTAATTGCACGCAAATAACGTATCTTTTATCGTCTATTTTCGATCCATTAAAATTTCCCAGAAAACGAGCCGATTCTAACGATACTAAGTAATTGTCGAATTAACTCACTTCGACGCCGACGATGATAACAACAATAAAAGATCGTATCGTTTTGCTATTTTTTTTCTCGGATGCACTGCGTTCCTCGTACGAACGCAATTATCAATTAAAACGTTGTTGTTTCCCAGTTTACGGGCCATTTGTTTTCATTAAAATGTTGACACAACATCTTCGAATGGGATTAGACGATTAGAAGATTAGAATTTCGTTAGTTATCATAAATTTAGCCGAATGCGATTGATAATCTCGCGCGTTTCGCAGGTCAAAGAGAGAGGCTTCATGTTGGTGGAAATGGACACGGAACTCTGGAGCGAGGAACCGACGCCTTCGGCCAGCCGGCACGGCAGCCAAGACGGGGAGATATCCGAATTAACCAAAGAAAGCTGGGAGGTAAGCGCTTCGTTTTACCATCGATCGATTTCTTCCTATTTCTCGCTACTTTAACATCTTTTCTTCTATATATGTACACTAATATCGAATCATATTTGGCAGTGTTTTATTTGCATTAAAGGCGTAAAACGTTGCTAATATTGATGTACATAGTTAGAATTTTCACGTTTCTCTTCTAATCTATTTATAACATTTACCTATAAAAAAATAAAGGTAAAATTTCGTGTACAAGCAATCAATCAATTATGATATCGAGTTTGAGATGAATATAAGCGCTTGTGAAATTTTACCAGTAGTAGAAAAAGGGCCGCAGGGCGACGAACTGTGCAAAAACAGTAAAATTTTTGTGGTATTTATTGTGTTTGCCCTTCCAACGTGCAGCTGATCAAGGCGCCCTATGTTAAGATCTACAGCATCATCAAGACGCAGACAATGTCCGCGGACGGCGGCGATGAGGTGATTTAAATGAGAAGCACGCACGCGCACTGATAACACTCCTTTAGCCACACATTTATATGTCTTATCTGTCCTAAATCGACCCCTTTGTGAATTTATTAGATTCTTTTTAGTTTCGGGTCATTTGGAATTTCTAGTTTTTTTTACAAGTCTTGTGAAAATCCTAAATAATAGTCCGTTCGCTATCAGGAGATGTTATGAAAAGCCCTAATGCCCTAATCTTTCGCATACAATATTAGTTTTTGCTACTGTCTCCCGATAGCGAACGGAGTATAATTGATTAATTAAATTAATTTTTTATTTATTGGATAACTGATTTATCTACCAAAAAACTAGAATTTCGAATCCTCATTTCTTTTGGTAAGCCATTCGAGAACCACTATAATATTTAAAAAAAACTCGAATCCTTCGGTATTTATTTTTAGAAATCATTACAAAGTATGGAAACATGTTTCGATTGCGTAATTTTTTAAATCGTAAACAAACGAAGCGATTAATTAATTTATTTTTAGTCTAATATATTCTCGTTTTTAATGCACTTCTTGCACTGACAATTTCGAGCGGTAACTTACTAGATTACATATACTCGTAGAAATGAATATTGTTCAAATTATCGATTACAACATACAGTATAACATGCATTGGATTTCAATAACACCTTTTTCTATAAATAGACCGACTATACGTGTCTTGTTCTAGTCCAAAGATTCGCAACTCTTTTATTCAAATATTAAGTAAACATATTAATGCAAAATTTATAATGTTTTCGTCTATTCGTTGGCCAAAGAGTATTTTGAAGTTGCAGTGGAAAAACACCTTTATTTACGATATGCCTACGATTTTTTGGTGCATTCGAATCGTTACGAAAATTCTTCGTAATCGCCAGACAAAAATAATGCACCGATTCTTTTGTTGACGTCGATGAAACTTTCCTTTAGTTTGTTGCGATAAGACTCGCTGTAATTTTCCTATCGTTTAGGTTCCTTTGGGCCGAACTTTTTATTTGATTAATGTAGAAATTCGACTTGGCAGGCAATATTTTTTTTTTAGAATATTAAAAATACTTTGTGGAATTCGAAAGAAAGCCGTCTGTTGTGTCTTTCTCGACCAAAGCAGGCAACTTCCTGGATAAAGGAATTTCGAAAGAATTAACTACTGTCCGACACCAATAAATTACCTACGTAAAAATATAAAAAAGATGATTGAATTACACGAATGATAATTAAATTGTAAAAATTAAATAATAGATTTGCCATCGCAAATTAATGTTTTTTTTTCTCAATTACGCGTCGAAAATAATTTATGTTTGATTAGTTATTCGAATATAAATAAATGTTTAATGAGCGGTCGTGTTTCACAATTAAATAGAATAAATTATTTCAAATAAGATTATGTATACGACGAGTCGTAATTAAACAATAGTTATTCTAATTCTATACCTCTTAATTACACAGTGTGCTCCAAAAAGCATTGATGTAATTTAAAAAATATTATCTCGAATTAATATTTGTTTTTGTACTCGCGTAAATTTTTACATAATACGTTTTTCTGAAAACAATCACAAAGTACAAAATTGAGAAAAGTCACGTTTTTGTAATCCATTTATTTTCTTCAAATTTTCATTCAATGTGAACTTTGCAACCGTTTTTATCTTATTAAAAACAAACAACCGAGGAATACTAGTAAGCACCTTATTTAAGTATATTTGTTATAAATTAATTAATTATTCGGTGGCGATAACCTCTTATACAATAATTGGAAAAATAATTTTTTTCTCCAGCTGGAATTGTATCAAAAAGGTTATTTGTTTTACACATACTCCAGTCGCGCCGTCGAATCGATACTTAACACAACGATCCTTTTCATTTCCCCTGGTGAATTAAAAATGAAATTTTCAATATTTTCCAAATGCGTCGTAAATTCCGCGAAATTGTCCGACGAATCGGAAATGCTCCGATCTGCCGTAAGTAATATCATTTAATTAAATTTTCCCCGTAACCGCAACAAAATATTGTCAGTGCATATTGAATAATTTTTTCGATTTTTCTCTCCGGTTCTCGTTGATGCGCTTACCAAACTCTACTCGACGTTCATCAGTATCTACTTTTCCCTTTATTTTTAGATGTGACTTTTGTGTCTAAATTCCGATTACAATTCAACACAGTAGTGGCTTCAAATTAGAATAAATTTTAACATGTGAATTGGTGTTAGATGTTGTTAGTGTTTAGCGAATCGAAATTTTAACGGGTTTAATTATTATTCACGATTAATTTGATTTAATTTACGTTTACATCGAATATAATTTCGTTTTAATGCATATGCAATGCGTGCGTGTGTTATTAAGAACGAAAATCGTGTTTACATTTAGGCTACTAGTCAATTAATTTCACTTAAGGAATGCCCTGTATAAGTATAAATTTATTAGTAATAAATAAATTATTAACAGTCAATATGCGTGATGCTGATAAATTTTAAATATTTTAACAACAGGTTTCAACTTTCTTAATTTTCGATTTCTACGAAACGCGGTAGATTTTTGAAGAATACCAACTCAATTAAAAAATAATAAAATAATCGTTTTAAAAAGTAATTATAATCGTCGTATAATTAACGATAAAATTAAATGCGTGTGGCTATAATAAAAATCTAAAGAATGTATATTAAACATATGAGAAAAAAATGGCGGTGGTGATTCGGATCTTCTAGATCTAGATTAATCGACCCGGACACTTCTAGCACGATCTATTTTTTACCATCAAAGAATGTCGTAAGGGAATGGAATGTTAAAAACACGCGTTAATAGGCAACTAAATTTCGAAAAACATGTTATTTTAAAACAATTTGTACTTTTTTACCAACTGAAAAACCCACAAAACAATTTGTTTTGCGCCAATTCCCACCCTAAAATTCACTCTACATTCCGATTATTCCTCGATATACACCTTCTACTACACCTGAAACCATGGAAAATTACCCTTGAATAATTCTCAGAAAGTCCATTTACGCAGCCCCTAAACATTCCATAAACTTGCGGGAGGTACGATATTAAAGATAATCTCTAGGGTCAACAAGAAAACGTAACAATCATAATGCACACGAAAGATAAAATTTAAACGTTTTATTTTCTTAGAAATTGTATAATAGATAACCGGTACCCTCTTTGATAGGGCGAGCATGTAGTGGAAAATAACCAGATAATCCTAATGAGGCCTCCAACACACCTTCCGAGTGCTCTTTACCTGACCCGTAAACGCAGTAAACAAAACAGTCATAGAAGGAATTTCGGATCGCATTTGAATGCCGGTGACTGCGTCGAGCGGAAAAAAAAACTTACCGAGATGCACCGGCGTTGCATTCGCATAACCGATTCGTTACCATCGAGCCGCTTTCGACGACTATTAGTCTATTACATTTTTTTTTGGCGACTTGTCAAAAATTTCGATTTTGGAGAAGGCGAAGCGAGGCGAAGATTCGCCCAATACCGCCCGGGCCGTCGATGAACGTTTGACTTGGGAGCCGTGTTTAGTCCAGCGGAGATCGTCTTAGAACGAGGAAGTTGAGAAGAGTGATCGATAGTATTATTTCGTGCGATTTTTTTTAATTCGAGCAATTGTTGGTTTGAATACATCGCGATGCAGACGACGCGCGTGAGAGTAAGAGATATTCTGAAGAAGATGAAGAGGAAGACCAAAATTTGCGGCGGTAAGGAGTTCAATAAAAAGGTAATTGGTTCGGGACGTGTTTGAACATGTTTCTTCTGCGGAGCAGAATTTTTTTTTGTCAGAAAATTGAATCGATTATCTCGTTTTTAACAGGACGTTGACTCTAATCGATACAATCGAATTTATCGGAGTTATTTATGATTAGGTACCATAGAAACGGTGTCTATTTTAATTTTTAATAAAATTAATTCAACAAGGGACGTGGAACATTTTTGTAAACAAAATCTACTTATCTCCCGGTGATGCTAATTAAATGAGTCAAACGTGCATTTATTTATTGTGTATCACTTCCAATGCCAGCATTTTGTTATTCATAAATTACGCTCGCGTCGTCTTGAAATTATTCGAATATCGATTAGTTTGAGTATTTTTTTTTCATTTATTATTTGTATTAAAAAAGTAGTCGTAGAAAAGTTCGGGTAGTTTTCCGGTGCTCATTTCCTTCGTTTAATTGATCAATAGAACCTTTCAGAATTTATCAATTTTTTTTAAAGAATAGCATGATTAGCGGTGCATTATATTCGATGATTATTTTTATTTATTTATGTTTACATAGTTAATGAAACGACTCTTTATGAATCACCGGATATATAAGAAATTCGAAAATCACTAAAAAAGTTGAAACCTTCAGCAAATTTGACATTGATTAAAAAGTACTAAACGTAAGGTTAATCTGCTTAACTAAAGGTTAAATAATTATCTCTTCACAACATGAAAAAACTTACTTTTTTTTGGTTCCATTCCACTTTAATTTACTCTTGTTGCGTTTATTCATCCTGCGAACAAATTAAGCCGTAATTAAACACGCCTTAATCAAATTGTTAGCAATATCAAAAGCATTTCAAGAAATTTTATTATGATTCATGTGGTAATTTCTAATTATTTGCATTCCGATGGACGAATTAATTTTCTGCAAATGCCTTGCGTTCGGGAATCGCTCGGAATTGACGAATTTTTCACTTACGTGAATATTCGTAATATCAGTAATTAAATTGTTGTTTTGTTAAAAAAAAGCGAAAGGTCGCGGCATTGAACTGGATACAATCAAAATACACAAAAAAAATTAAACAAACAAACAATTAAACACAATAATGCCTTATCAAATGTATTATTATTGTTATTTGTATTTACGGAAGACATAGATTTAATTCTTTTTCTCTTTTGTTGTACTACTTCCTTAATTGCAAATATTTGGATTCTTTAATCTGCTGATTTGTTGATGATAATAATTATCTTATAATTTGTGATCGATCAGTATCGGTAAATACTGGGTATACAGGGTGTTCATTATGTACAGGGTGTCCATAGTTATACGCACTTTTGGAAGATGAATTAAAAAAAATTACTGATAGTGTGTTCAATTTTGGACTCCCTGTAGAAGTTGGTAGCCTTTTATCGATTAATTTTCGGTACATGTCAATCATGTTTTTATCCTACGAAGTTGGCTAAAATGCCTGTCAGATAAGACTGTTGAAATTGCTACAAGTGCCAAATGGCGAAAAAGGTAATATTTTGGAATAATCGTAGTTTATGTAAATGTGTACGAATCGAGCACCGTGCTAGATGTAAATATTACATGGCGTAGATGCGAAGTTAACGCGGAAAATCGAACGAAAAAAAAAAAAACATTACCGGCAGAAACATTTTGCGATGTTAAATTTAACTTTTTGGCAAAACTCCATGAGCCCGTTAAACGCTTACGCTGGCGAGAAAATTCGTTTTTAATGGTCTAGTCTAGTTTCACTTTAATACCATTTTAACGGCGACAAAACCGTTCGATTTCCCGCTAAATTACCGCCCGCAGTAGCAGCCGCGACATATCCCGTAACAATTCGCTAATCATGCCCTTCGATTAGGTGTTGCCGATGTCGGAGGAACTCCGCAGGGCGTTCTACTCGTCCTCGGCGGCGCCCTCGTTGGACATCGAGCTGTCGCCGCCCGACCTGGTGGGCACCACCGAGATCCTCACCGACTACCACAGGGAGAACCTGTGCAGGCACTTGCCCGCCAGGGCGGAGGGCTACGCGTGGACGTTGGTGTTCAGCACCCTCCAGCACGGCTTCAGCCTCAACTCGATGTACAGGAAAATGTACAAGCTTGAATCGCCCGTACTCATGGTCATCGAAGACACAGACAATAACGTAAGTCGGTGATTGCCGCTAATCGAAGTCGTTGTTAATTGATTTTATGTAATTGTAGGTATTTGGTGCTTTGACCTCGTGCGCACTGCAAGTATCCGATCACTTTTACGGAACGGGGGAATCTTTGTTGTTTTCGTTCACGCCGGAATTCAAGGTGTTCAATTGGACAGGGGAGAATTTGTACTTTATCAAAGGCAACAACGAAAGCATCAGCATAGGTGGGTTTTGGTGAGCGCGCGGGCGAGAATTTTTTGTTTAATTTGAATTGAATTTCAGGTGCTGGTGATGGGAAGTTCGGTTTGTGGTTGGACGGGGACCTTTACATTGGTAGATCGGAATCGTGCAAGACGTACGGCAACGATCCCCTCACGCCCAAAATCGATTTCGTGGTTAAAACGCTGGAATGTTGGGCGTTTGTATCCAGTTAATTTGTGATCGCGACAGGTATGGAATCTTAAATTTCCCAGTTATCTACATTTTTATCCGTTGGTTATCTAATATTTTTCACGTGTTTGAATCTGGACGATTTTATATATTTCAAGTCCCCCTATCAATATTATGAGCAAATCTTAAATTTTCAAAAACACCCGTTGAAAAAATATCTAGCTAAAATAGATTTTGGTTTTCAGGAGGAGAGAAACTCGCGTTAAACAGTGGTGCATATCACGGATGGGAACGAAAAATAAAATATTTTTACAAAAACTAATACAAACAAAATAAGATTTAACATTTTTAGCTGAAGCTTTAGTCGTTAGAGAAGTGAGAACAACACAACTGCACAACTGTACGTTGAAAAAAAAAACTAAATCATCCAAATACAAATTAAAAAAATATATATTGGAAAAGCAAGAAGATAATTTATTGTAGAGGTAAAAAAGACGGCTGCCGTAATCGTAAATGTGGCGCGTTGAAATTTAGTTTTTTATGAAATAATGTTACAAAATGGAAAAAAATTGTTAAATGGAATATCATAAATTGTACGCTTACAAATAGTTCGACTTTAGCTCGGCCAAAACTATCTGAAATTCAATTGTAGATACAAACTGTCTGTTCCTTCAGTGTTTTCCCCAAAAGTGATATTTTTTCAAATCCAAAAAAAGATGATATATAATATATTTTTTCATGAACAAATTCGAATTTCAGGTAGTCTTGCGTTCTCGGTCCATTTTACTTTATCGAATGAGCAAACAATTTTTCTCTAACAACCTAAAAGATTCTCAAACGAACGAACAAACTTGATTTCCGTAAAATAAAATGAACCGCAAAGAACACGACAAATTCAAAAGAAGTATTTTTCATAAGAGAGGTGCTTATATCGCAGATCAAAGTCGCTTTGATTTCATTTTTATCGTATTCCGTATGTGTGGAAATTTTTAGTTTGACTAGTCATTTTTTTTTTCACTAATTTGTATTTTTTTAGTAACCAGTCGGTTGGAATTGTGCGCGTTTAGTGTGTTTGTTATTGCTTTAGCTTAACAACGAATGACTGTCTTGTTAGTTTAGTTTAGGGAGAACCACGTCGATGTCAATTCGTTATTTTAACGTATAAACCCTAAGGATAAAACCCGAAGGGTTTTTGTTTGAACAATTTGCAAAATAGCCTTTTTTAATTGGAGCGCGTTTATTATTGACTGATTCGAATTCGAAACGGTGGTTCTCCTCGTGATTAATTGTTATCTAACCCTTCTGGTACTATTGTTGAATTGTCTACGCAGCCAGAATAAGTATAATATAATATATATGATTGTGTTGTAGCAATTATTGTTGAAATTAATATAAAAAAAATCATCTTGGCTGTAGTGTTATCAAAGGAAGAGAAAACTATTCGTCAATTAGATGCTTAGAAGAACATGCCATATCAGTTGTCAATTTGATGATTTTAACGTATTTAGAGGCTGTTATGCGGACTGCTTGTTTCCCGAACACCTCGAGTCGACGGCGAATTTCGTGAATAAAAAAAACCAATGCCTTTAAACAGACTATAAATTTTTGCCAAAAAAAATCTCGGTTGTATCCCTTTATCCCAAATCACTGCCTTGTAAAAATTTCTACTATACTTCTTTATAAAAAAATCTAATTAGAATTGCTTTGTTAGATAAGGATTAAGATCGATTTTTCCTAACGTCAATTTAGATACGGGAACAAAAATTAAGAATTAGTATAAGTACATATGCTTGATAAACTGAAAAATTTAATAATCATCTTGTAAATTAATTAATTAACCCTTCAATTTAGCGAAACTCCAATTTCCTAAACAACATCTAACCATATACAACCATTTATATAAATCAATGTAACTGATACATGCGAGTGAGATTTTTTATCAGCACGAATTTAAAATCGACCGAGGTGTTTGTATGCCTTGTTGAATAGATTACCTACCCCTACGTTCGCTTATCCTGTTAGCAAACGGCGGCAGTCCGTACGTTGCATGCAAAGTGCCACGGGAGACGGCGCGCCGGTTATTTTGTTGTTATTTTGTCGCCGAGAACGCGCCGAAATGCTCGGAATCCGCGAAGACCTAGTCATGTGTAATCGAAAGAAACGACCGTATTGTGGAATACGTCCGTGGCACTTTCCACATTTACCTAGAATAGCTGGAACTCGATGTCTAAGTTGTGTACTATAACATTTATTTAGAGATATTTATCTGTAAAAAATATTGTATATAAAATTAATATCAATAGATTCTAATAGTTGTATTTTAATGTGTTGTTTTATTGGTTGTGAGGGGGCGGGTATATAGTTTCGGTTTGTCGAATTTTTTATGATTGATTGTTTTTAATTATGAATTAATTCAGTTTCTCGTTCATTGTTGGGTTTTTCCGGTCACTGGGTAGTACCCGAATTCTATCGAAACGCGACCTTTAAGAGCTCACATAACTATCGAATTTACCGTAATTATTCTAATAAAGCGATTGAAAAACCCTCCGAAAGTGTTGTTAATTTTACATCTATAACTATCCTAAAATACAGGGTGTCCCGTATAAGAACCGACACAGTATAGAGGAGCCTATATTATGTTGTTTAACCCAATTTCTTTAACTTAATACAACCAACTTTTGAATTATCGACGATTTTAAGTAACATTGATAGTGTATATGACTTTATTTTTTAGCGCATTTCATCGAAACGACAAATTTAAAAAACAAAAAGATTAAAAAAAGTTTTAAAATAAAATTAACTAATTTTTAAAATCACCCAAGAGGTAAAAAAAATGTAACATTTGAAGGGAGTCTCATCCCAAATAAACCCTTTAAAATAAGTATCGATTAATGCTCTTAGTATAGTCATTCGTAACCTGTACTAAATATTATTTTTAAACATTAAAACATATTTTGGGCTCCCCTCTACACGCTCTATGTCCGTTTTTATGCGAGACACCCTGTATATCGAATTTCCCGATTGAATAAAACACGTGTAGATTCGTGAGAACTTTATGTCTTCTACACTAGAAATCGATAAGCCTACGTTATTTATAAAATGCAATTGAAAATACTAAAATTCAGTCGAAAATATTACAATTTACAGCCACAACGAATTTTCGCGAGTCACTACTGGTCTTTTATCGTACGTTCTTAAAACGGCTGCGATCACAGGCTTGGTTTTCTCTTCCTCCCGCTTCTGCTTCCTCTTCCTGTAGCTCTGCCAGCTCATCCTTCTCCATATCGTCTCCTCCTTGCCTCCTTCGCCGGTCTTCTTCTTCTTCCCACTCGCATTATCACTAGTCTTTCTATTATCACTGCTGCTCACGACGACATGGCTGTCTTCGATTAGGCCGTTCCGCAAGTCGCTGTTGTTCGAATAAAACAACGTTTTCAGCGTGCTGGTGATTTTGAGGGATTTATTTCTATAGTAAAAAACGTCGTATTGGCTTTTGAACCACTGCTCCATTTTCGCGGAGACCTTTGTTCGTACACTGCGGAGCGTTTCGCAGGAATATAATTAAATTAGGGATGATCCGACTTGATAAAGGGTGAGTTCAAAGGTTTCTTGTAGCTGTTATGTAAATAATTAGTTTCCATCGCATAGTAGGCGGGCGGTGGTGGATTAAATTCCCTGTTAAATCCGCCGGTAGTTGTCACGATTTTTTCTCGATTGGTTTGTTTTTTTGCGCCCTTATAAAGGGGCATTTGAGGGGTTATTTATTGTGGGTGATAATACGGATAAAGATCGTTCGAAAAAATCGCGTCGACGCCAATGGTTCTGATAGGAATTCCCTAATTTGCAATGACGCAAAACTGACACGAAAATAATTTCATAAAATTCCACTAATTGCTTCCAGAGTTCGAAAGCCATATTCTGGGAGGATTCCCTAAAGAAATCTAATATATTTCTAATAAGAAACGAACATCAAACGGGAACGTTCCCTGAATAATCCGGTTCCTAGCAGGAATAAGAATTGTTAAAATGGCGGAGGGAGCAACTTAAATTATTTATATCCGAGCGAACACGGAGATCAAAGATATCGAAGAAACAGTGAACGAAAGTTAACAATTATACAATGGTGTAGTTATAGATGAAATTATACATACAGTGCAAGCAAGAATAGAAACTAGTAATACCACTATTGAGTCTCATCTTCCCATAGATTCAAAAAAGTTAAGCCTCTTCCACAGCAATCTCTAGATCAAATGACAATGTCAATACTCAGCGCGAGCTCTTATTGGCTGACCATAAGTTTGAGTGAAAATCGTGCACTGTGATTGGCTGGACACAGTGACGTTAACACTTACAGCTTTAATCCACAGCAAGTCTTGTTTAGTATACCTACCCAAAAGTGAAACAAACTCTTCACCTAAATGGAGTAGCAATCGCTACACCACTGGTAAATTTGATCTCTTTGAAAAATTTAATAAATTACCCAACGATTTTCGCAGAACAATAACATAACGAACGCTGACACACACCGCGCTGAGAGCCTTGGAAATTACGGCCTTATTCGGCGTCCTCTTAGCGTCTTATTATTATTGGCAACATAATAATAACATGAAAATTTTCTGCGTTTTGATCGGCACGATCGCGACGTGAATATCTAAATAACTTTTTCCCTCGTCAGTTTTTATTTTCTCTGTAAAGTCGCTTTGCATCTTGCCGGGTTATCTATAAAAGAGAGGGCCCGATGCCGGGGTGGTTCAGTTGAAAGGCTGTCGCCAATGTGGCTTGGCGATTAGTAAATATAGCAGGTAAATTGATTTTTTATAGATTTTTCGATTTTAGACGAATTTGTTGGTTGATTTAGCAGATATGGTTATAAGAACGTTCTGCACGGGCGTTTTCCTAATTGCATGCTTCTACTTACTTCTCACGCATCAACTGGACATATCATCGGCCGCTCCTGTCAAAGACCACCACCTACCGAGACCCGCTTTGGAAAGGTATCCCAGATACCCCCATTATGCTCGAATCAAGACTGAGCCGCTTATCGGCGAATTTGTCGGTAAGTATTCTAACAAATTTATTGTTTGTCACTCAAATTTTCACTTTTTTCACAAATTAGTAAAAGTACTTTATCGTATCGACTTATATTGACATTTGATTTGACAGTTGAAACTTCAAGTTGTCAAACCAAATTCGTCGAAGTAGGCGGTGCATAAAATTATACAAATTTATAAACTGGAATTCCATTCATTAGATGCTTTCGATTCCTTAAACTACGCAGTATTCTTATCAGTAATTTTGTTTCTTTTTCAGACGAAGATGATTTTTTGGAATTGTCGAAACGTCAGCAGAGCTCCGACGATTACGGCCACCTGCGATTCGGGCGCAGGAACGGGGAGGAATTATCGGACGATTACGGGCACATGAGATTCGGGCGAAGTGGCTCCGATAAGAAATAAGAAATGACCGACGACGACTTGCGCGCGAAATATCTGTTAATTTTTCTATGTAATAGAGGCTGGACGAAAAAAATAAATTTTAAAGCAGTCGCAGTTTTATATCTGTCAAATTTTGAACCCACCTATGACGTTTCGATTTATTTGTTCACATCAAGATCGCTTTGGATTCGACGCGACAAGTTGACGTTGACTTAATGAAATTAATTTCGATTTCAAAATGACCGAAAATATCGACGATTTGTTAATGAAGCTGCAAGAAGATCTCAAAAATGACGAATACAGCATCGATACCGTTGATGTTGAAAAGTCCATGCGCGAATTCAAAACCGAGGTGTACGTAAAAAGAGTAAGTGCGGATATTTTTAATTGGCACAAGCACTCTTTTAACCGACACTAAAATTTACAGGACCAAGTTAAACAATTACGTGTAGACTTGGAATTCACCCAGAACGATGCCAAAAAGCTAAAAAGGGAATTGGACGAGTCCAACGCCGCTTTGGATGAAAGAAATTTCAATTTAAACGTTCTGAACAAGAAATTCCGAACCACAGAAGATGAATTGGCCAAAACCGTCGAGGCCTTGAACAACACCCAAATGCAGCAAAAAATATCCGTAACTATCTATAATCTGTTCACAGGATGTTTTCCAGTGTCAATTCTATGAGTTGAACAAAGAAAGATTATTAATATAACAGTGGTTAGAGTGAGAAAGTTGCAATCACAATATCACTCTTTCTTTTTCCTTTATATGAGATTAGAAGTTGTCATTGTTGCACTCATTGCCTATTATGCAAACAAGTTAGCATCTATCTGTATAATTTTTATATTGAGAAAAAAGACGGCAAATGGAAAATATAAAGTGAACTCTTTTTAATACACGTTTCAATTATTACTACTATTTTTACTACTATTTAAAAATCGCAGGTGGTGGAAATGGAGAAAATGAAAGAATTACTACAAAGGAGCGAAGCCGAAAAAGGCGAATTATTCAGAAGAGTGGAAGCGTTCGAAACTAAGCAGAAACAGGACCTCATGTATCACAATCAACTAATAAAAAGAGATTCGAATTTGAAGACCACCATAGGAAAACTGGAATTGTAGAGTAACTTCAAATACAGATAAATTTATAGTTAAACAATTCCTCGCTTTAGGGCAATAAAAAATTTGGAGCAGGAGCACAAGGAAGTAATGGAGTTGTCGAAGAGCGCCAACGTTGCCACGGAGGCAATCGAAAATTACCGATTGCTTCTGGAGAATTACAAGAGAATCGATCAAGAAAAAAACAACTTTGAAGCGATGTATATCAAAGTTAATGGTAAACCAGGGACACATTTCAAGCAAAAACACTTAAATGAATGTTTTAGCGCAATACGAAACGCTGGAGAAGCTTCTAAACAGTCGAGACTACATGCAGGAATCTAATTTGCTCGGGAAATTAATCGTCGATCAAGTAAATATTTTAAATATTCCTCTAATTCGATTACTCTATTATTTCTGTTCAGTGGGAATCGAGCAGGCAACATTACGAAGAGCACCTGGAAGAAAACGAAGAAATCATTAAAAATTTAATAGAGGGATACAATAACGAGAAGTCAGTTAACAGCAAGTTAATCGAGAAAAATTCCGCATTGAAAGAAGAGAATGCATCTCTACGAGCAAAATTGGAGCTGATAAATAAAGAATTGGAAAGTTTGAAACAAAAATACAGCGAATTGGAGACGAAAACGCCCGATTGCAGTATCGTAATCAAAGATGAACTAATTGAAATCGATTGATCGGTTTGTCTTTTCGTTTATTCATTCAATTCTTAAAATATTTCCTTAATTGTACTGAAAAATAAAGTTTATAATTACAATTATAAATTAATTTACCTACTTATTTTCTCTAGCGCAAACAATCTTGCATTAGAGAAACTAATCCTCACCATCCATCGATAAAATTTACAAAACACATCCTTATCCTCTCGCGAATCTCGACAATAATTATTAAAGTTCATCATACTCTAACAACAATTATCTACGAATAATCGTCGAGATCCTCGAGGCCTTGCTGTTGTTGTTGCTGCTGCGCCTGCTTGGCAACGGCCGCCTGCAGTTGCTCCCACTGCTGTTGGTCCGCCTGGGCCTGCTCCTGCCTGGCCTTGGCGAAGAGCTCCTGCTGTTGCCTGAGCAACTCCTCCTCGGGAATGCCGAGGTTCTCCAAGCGGGTGCTCTGCCTTCGACGCTTCGCGGCCACGGCCTTGCAGTCTTTCAGCACGGCTTCGGCTTCCGCCGTGTAATCGTTGAATCCTAATTTATCCAAAGCTGAAACAGTCATTGGAATTAGACTAATGTACGTATGTAAATTGTGAGATACAAAACAAACAAAGTAGATAACAATGTGTTGTAAATGGATACTAACTCACCTGCTAGAACGTGTTCGGCGTTAATGGTTTTTTTGTTTAATTGATTGCATATTTCGTTGGCTTCCGAACTGAGCAAATGTATAAATTCAGTGCAGCAATTTAATATTAATTCTCTGGCTTCGTTTGCTATCCTAACTGAGGGGACGAGTTCCTTTATCATTTTGTTAATGCTAGCTCGAGGTAGGGTTGGTTCATCGTCTTCGGAGTTCGCAGATCCGGGTATATTTGTAGAACTAAGATTCGCCATTACTAATTATGTGTTTGTAGTAAAAATTATGCACTATTTTCGATAAACTAACAGTCGTTTACTACTTTATTTTGATCATGTTGTAATGTCTAAATTTCAACGTCAAATGTCTGTCAATGTCATTGGTCTTGTCACTTGTCATTAACGTCAACGTCAAGAAGCCTTCTCTTTTATTTGAATGATAGTTTATAAACAGATGTATTGTGCCACTAATCACGCCTCGGTAGCGCAGTAGGCAGCGCGTAAGTCTCATAATCTTAAGGTCGTGAGTTCGATCCTCACCCGGGGCACTTTTTTGATAAATTAAATAAAATTTTCAAATTCACGTATAAATTTTTATTTATTTTTACTTACAAATAAAGTATGGACAAATACGATTTTCGTTATTTATGTACATAATTACAATTCTTTGGTGTATAAATTTAAAGTTGCTTTTAGAAAAATTTTATATGCCTATGTCAAAAACGCAAAGAAATATAAAATAAATTAAATCGAGCGGTTAATTTCATTAATAAAAATAAAAACCATAAACATACGTGTAATAGGAATACGTTTATGCATTTTTAATAAATATATTTCCATTTATTTTTTATTTCTTTCAGTATCTCATCTCTTGGACGAAGTCGTCAATTTTATTAAAAAATACATTTATTTTATTTAAGGCAAGAATTATCTTATATCTTATATAATATATAATTCTAGCAGCAGTTTACTAGCAAATACTTGATTTGAGGACAAAAACCTTGAGACATAAAAATATAAAGAAGAGAGCAATTACAGGATAATTGAGTAAATTAGTAAAATAATAGGAAAAATAATTTACATTTGTATAGATAAATAATAAGCAATTCTATTATGGTAACGTTCGAATATGGATGATTAAGTGAGGCATAATAGATTTTTTTAATCCACCTCTCTATTATGCCTCACCCTGTATTTTTCGTAGTCATCCTGTATACTACTTGTAAATATGTCAAGAATTAATTTCGTATTTTACAGCTGCCTATACTATAAAGATCCACACTGTATAAATGATGACCCGTTACAAGTAGTAAACAATTAATGAGGGCTATTAAGACACCCGTAGTAGAACTAAAATTTCATAACAAAAAAGAAATATATACAACACCTAATCTCAAAAAAAAAACAAGACTTTTCTTAAAATAATAAAACGCTGCTAAACACTCTTTGGCTTGAAATAAAACATGCGCTAAAGTGACATATCACATTAAAAAAAAACAACAAGAAAAACTAGATAACACACGTCAATATATACAAAAAAAAACTCCTCAACTACACCATTACAACCTAACGCCTTACGAACTAAATATAAAAATAATTCTCGTAATCGGCGTACGACTGCCCGTCGTCCGCCTTCGACAGCTGCGAGCTGCTGTTCCAAATCTTCAGGTTCGAAAACCGGTTCATCACCGCCGTCAGGTCCTTCTGCAGCGCCTTCTCGCGCTGCCCCAGCTCGTCCAGCGCCTCCTGCTTCGCCGGCGCCTGCTGCGCCGGCTTCCCCAGCGCCGCCGCCGCGCTGGCGCTCTTGCAGGCCGCGTTCCCCGCCCGATGGGGCACCTGCAGCGGCTGCGAACGCCGGAACGTCGTCGACACCGGCAGAGGAGGCAAATCGGACAACCAAAACACCTGCAATTGAAGATTTACATGAATGCTGTGGTGGAGAAAATGGTGTGTAGATACAAACCTTTCGTCTGGATAGAGGTAGATAGTCGGGATTCCTCCTCAGCAGGAAGTGGCACTGGTGGCTGGGCAGCCAGGTCTGCTGGACCTGCAGCGGCCTGTCGTCGGGGTGGAGCTTGCGCTGCTGCTCCCTGTCGTTGTTCACCTCGTAGATGGAGAACTGTTCGACGCGGTCCTTGCTGTTGCTGCAGGTGAGCAACAGCGAGATGACCTCGTCGGCGGTGGTGCGGGCGCTGATCAGCAGCGATTTGTACTTGGAGTTGCTGTTCAACGCCGAATCGTGCACTTTCACCAGACCGCCGCGGCGCGTTTGCAGGGAAAATCTGTAAATTCCTCGTTATAGATGACGAAAGAGAGATTATTGTTGTTTTATACTCACTTTGAATCGCCTTTGGGATGGCAGCTTTGCAGCACGGCCGGTCTGGCTTCTTCGTCGAGGGCCAAGTGAGTTTTAACGCCGGCTTTTCGCACCGTGACCTCCATGGATAGGTAGAAGAGCTTCGGGTCGCGGTGCTTCATTTTGTATTTGCTCAGTAGAGTGGCCACAACTTCCTTGCAGGTCGTTTGAAACGTAATACTGAGCGTTTTGTACTCTATGTCAGGTCGCAGGCATCGGGCGTACACTTTTATTGTAGTCTAGAAAAAAAAAAATAATACCGACTATATCCCAACTTTGCACGAATAAAGACCGATTATTACTAATTATAAAATGACTATAAATAGTTGCATAACTAACAGGGTGCTTGGGGAACACACAATAAACGACTCACGTGTATATTTTCCGCCGGCACGAACACGTGCGTGTAATTCCCGGTGTTCAAAGCGAACATTTTCGATACAACAACCGCGAATAATATTATTAACAACGGTAATATCGACGAAAATCGATCGGTATTCTCGCTGGAAACGACCGCTTGCCTCTGGCACAGAAACTCGAGAATAGATCCGTTTCGACATCCGACGCTCGGCGTCTTCCTGTGCGCGTCGAAAAAATAAAACTACCATTAAAAAAACCGTGGAGAATGAATTTTCATCTCGAACGGCGCTTGTGATCTATGACGAATCGTTCGTGCGTGCGCGCGAGTAAATATAATATAAAAAAACAGGAAATAGATACTACTTTTAGGAAAAACGGTCGGTGAAAATTTTAGCGAAATAAATCCTCTGGAATGTCCTTCGTTAGTGCGAGTACTCGCGATGCCTCCGGAGTAATGCGGATGCGAATTAATAGATGCGAAGTCGAGTGGCAGGTTTTTACATCCGCCGATTCTCGGGAATTCGCGAGAAGGAGATGTCTTATTATGTCTAAAAGGCCTCCGATTACTTTAATTGGTGGCAAAGAAAGAGAATTATGTGCCTGTCTTTCTATTTCTATACATATTTAGGTGTATTCTTTGCAAACAGAATTATTAGGTGCATTCATGGAATATGTCCTTTTGTTCGGTTTCTCATTATTTTTCTATTATTAGTATTTATGTGTATATGGCGAGACGGGAATGAGAATTCCTATTTACGGAGAGAAGTTTGTATAAGTATTTTTAAATTTGTGATAATGTTCAGGTACAATCTAAGGTGCTTGCCCTTTTCTCTTTTCTCCGATTAACTTTATCAGAATGTGAGTTCTTTACAAATAGAAAATAGAAAAATAAGTGTCTGCGTATACGCGCCCTTATCGCCCATCGTAAATATTTATCGATACGTGAAATCTATTGAAATTTTCGAATTTATCAATATGTAAATATATAATTTATGGGAGTGTTTTTATTGTACGATATTTAATATATAAATATGGTTTTTTTAAACCGAGGGTTATCGCGTTTAATAAAATACTTTGAATGCGTGATAAATACACAACGATACATTTCACCTCGACGATTTTTCTTCGATCTTTGTGCGTAGCAAATTCGAATTCTCGCGAATTCCGAACTCGAACAAAGGCTCACGAGGAAATGTTGCCCTTTATACGATAATGGCCGGCTTCCTGTCTCGTGCCAGGCGCAAAGATTTTAAACGATCTTCGTTTTTAGGTAGGAGCATTGCGGTTTAGTGAAAGGATGTTGCGTTACACGTCATTACACCTAATGAACACTTCCTCTTTAGGCCGTAAGTCACCCGTAATTTTACAATCTTGACCAAAAAAAAATTCTTATCAACAAGTCCGTGTTTCATTTAATTTGGTAAACTGGCCAATTTCGTACGAGCTAGAAGTATTTACTGCTTCGAGAAGGTTTTTTATTACTATCTTTCCTGGCAACGAACGGAGTATAATTGGTATTTATAAGGTTTGTGGTTAATACAAAGGTTCTTTTAATTAGTTTCAGTAGTGTTAATTAAGGAAATTACAAGGGAAGACAAAAGCCAAAAATCAAGTTATGTAGGAATGCTGTAACGGAGCACTAAATTTTCAAAATTCAAAAAAACTATCATCATTAGCGTCGAGGACGCTAAAAATTATGGGTTTCTGAAGGCATTGGAATCCTACTTTTTTACACTCCGTTTTGTGATGATGAGAAACGGTGTACGAATTTTTTCTTTAAAAAAAACCGATGTCGAAACGCCACATTCGAATAACTAATTGTTAATTACGATCGAGCGTGTGAGACAATTCGATTCGGTAGGAAACTGTGCCCGGTTTAACGTTACATAAACTGCCAAGTACTTAGAATAAGATGGATTATTTTCGCGCATTCCAGTTTCCTCGAATCCAGACCAACCTCGCGACACTCCCGAGTCGAGCACGGCTCGTGACATACTCGAAACGTTTGTTTAAATCGATTTTAAAACACCTACAAGTACAAGTTTAAAATTAATAGTCCATTCGCCATCCGGACTAAAGTCAAATAGATCAATTAAAGTAAAAAAACTACCTAATACACAATGAAAAAAGCTTTTAAGTTTTGGATTGTTATGATACTACCTCCTGATATCGAACGGAGTATAATAATTTTTTGCCAGTTATTTGAACTATCGAAGGTTACACTCACTCACTTTTGCTTGTCTTATGATCTAATTTTCATATTTGCAAACAGCATTTTTATCAGGAAGTCATACTCAGAGTACTTAAAAATAGTTTTACACTAACATACACGATAGGCAAGGAAAGCCTGTTTACAAAAAACTCCGGCAAACTAAACAAATTAAACCGCTCTTCCTCTCCATATTACTAACGCTCGGTAAACGAACGGTTTTAGAATTTTGCGAAACTTCCTCGAATTATTATTTTTATCAGGCGTTATTATAACAAGCGCGACCGAATCTAAGCGATTTACGACTTCCTTCGGTTTAGATATTTGGATTATTTAGAAGAGCATCATCTCCACAATGGCCCGCTTTATGTAGCCCGGAATCCGTGAATGGGTAAATGTTTGCCGTCGGAATTTTGGGGTCAAGTCGTTGGGAACAGGAACGAGATAAAAAAAATAAATCCAGATAGATAATTCGATTCGAGCCTCCCATCGAAACTGGTCGGTTCGACGAAAGGCGAGCAGTAGCCCATTGTAATTAAACAATGATTTCATTAACCTGGATTCTGACCGAACACAAACGAAACGTTTAGAAAATAACACGTTTCGAGTCATCGGAAATTAGATCTGATGTACCAGGGTGTCCCAAAATACACGCTCGAATCGTTCTTTCCGATTACGAACCAGGAGACTAATGAAATTAGATAAAAAATTAGATTTGAGCATACCAAAGTATTCTGGATTTGGAATAATAATTAAAATATAACCGCGTATATGGGATTATATTGACGGGTGTTGATTTTGAGACACCCTGTATTGCACCTATGGTGTCCATTCAAACGCTTTCTTTGTTACGATTTCCGTTTGGGTTTGAAATAAGTGGCCTTTTTGGCAAGTGTTGTACAGGTACTTTCGACTTTTACGCTAATTTATACATCCTGGTTTTTGCCTTTAGACGGGATATATGGTCACTTATTGCATTCTATTATGCACCTATACGTACGACGTATATCGAATGCGAGAGATTTTTTTTTAACGACGGTAATAAACTTCTGTTAGACAATTGTTAGTGTTAGATTAAAGTCAACGACGACCGCACAGACCCTTTTTATCGCGAGCAAACAGTGTCAACAAATAGTAAATGTCTATTTTTATATATTGTCGTAAATGGGTAATAAAAGGCGACAAATTCGTGATAATATGGCAGTCGTGTAAACAAATAATTGTTGCATACGGGAAATGCAGCTCGTTCCCAGATCAATGCGATTGGATTACCATGTTTTTATGTTTAAGATTTAGTCCTAAGACTAAATCTTATGACTAAATCTTAAGACTTAATCTTTTTATGTTTAAGATTTAGATTAATTATAGTCCGTTAGTTATTATCAGGAGCTACTTAAAGAGAAGCTGTAAAGTCAGTGTAAAAGTAGATACAATTGAATTAGTAATTTGATAAGTGACAAAACTAACTGTAACATTTGCAAGATTTTTCACTGGAGTCACTAATAATATCTTTTGCATATTAGGAATTTACTACCTCCTGCATGATTTCGAACGGAGTATAAAGAATAAGAAATGATCCTGTTTTGTGGTGATTAGTAAACGATGTACTTTATCAAATTTCATTGCAGATTAGCTACTAGTATCTTGTATTACAAGAATGTGCCAATGTAGCGCGAAGGCCGAAAATTCGCGGAGATGCTAAAATAAATAAAATTTAAACGGTCGCTGACAGGCCATCCAAACAAACTGGCGCCGAAAGCGCATTCATCACATTCGGTCGCCACAAAATGCACCGGGAGCGTTGACAAATCGGATTACTAATAACAAATAATCTTATCGCCTATTGTGGCGTACATAATATCGTTATACCATCTAAAATAATATACGGTTTTTTATTTATTTCTCAGAAAGTGAACAGTGCAATAAGATATTATCCTTCTCTAATGACAATGAAACGAGCGCTTGTATAGCAATATCATACTCAAATGCAAATTGTTTTTGATGATGACAACATATAACCTACAGATGATTAAGCTGTTATATTGGAACTGTTCTTGGAATATGTTTGTGTGCATAAAAAAAGGCTAATAAAACACGCATTAAATTATAAACAAGACATAATATTTAGTAGATAAAAAATATAGATAATTCATTTCTTGCACGCCCTGTATACAAGGTGACCCCTGCATACAAATTAGTGCATTCAAAAGGGCACGTGATCGCCTTTGAACTGGCTCGCGACGCATTTAGTACGCCCCCACACGTGCATACTAGTATACTTCCTCTCTTTAAAAACAAAAAAAAATCTGTACGTGAAACCCTTGTCCTAAACGCTGCAGTTCCGTCGTTTAGGCACGGAACGCACGAAACGAAAGGCCGTAGAGAAAAGCGATAAAACCCGGCGTCTGGTAGTCAGGTGTGCACCAAGGGTCTGCACGTGCTACCGCCCGAATGGCTGTTTCCGGCCTCGATATCGGGTTACCCGGCCCGCCCCCGGCTTATCCCGATCGCTGTTCTACCAGAGATGCTTTCACGAACGGCGCGCCGGAGTTCCCCGGCAACATTATTATCCCTTTTTAGGTGGTAAAATAACGGAAAATTTGTAAAATGGATAGATGGAAATTAATTTCGAGTTGAGTAAACTAGAGTAGAATAATCAGAAGAACGACATTTGAAAAATAACAGTTATTTTGTAACAGTCGTTACTGCACCTCTATGCCGAAAAATCGATTCCCACCTCTATTAAACTTCTGTCAGACGAAATGTCATTAATGTCAATTTTGACAGTTGGTGTATCATCAAATTTATCTAAATATACTAAAACTACCCGTACGATTATCGGAAATCGATACAATTTAATCACTGCTCACAATGTAAGGAGGCAATGAGGTGAGTATACAAATTGGCGTTGAAATTGTGTGTGTGTATTTTTCTCATTTTCCGCGAGTTAATGGCGAGTCAAATTTGTACCAGTTTCACATGAGAAGGTAATTTCGTGTAATAACCTACCGGAAGACGCGGCAAATTACGGCGATTATTAGGTAAATAGATGGAAAAAACAACGGCCTCTGTGTAGGGACTAGTTTGGAATGCCATAATTTCAGAGTAATTTTTATACGTAATTGCGCAATTGAGTGTAAACGCTTAATTAGGACGTGCGCAATATTAAACAAACCGAATGACAAAAGATTATTTTGCGAAACTGGCACATTTTTTCCAATATTTAGCGAAAATTCATCCACACAATAGTTTATTGTTGTGGATTCCCCACGCTTTCCTTACATTTTGAAACGATACCAACCGCGTAATTCTGCCAATTGATATAAAAAAAGAAAGTTGCACCGAATTACTAATTACCCTTTAATAAGTTCCCACCATTAGTTGCGAAAATACGAGCATAATAAGCTCAATTAATTCTTCTATATTCACACCGTTTCTCTACTTCAAGTCTCTAACAATTTACGTTCAATGAAGTACTTGTGGAAGTAAGACAAAGATAGCACGACATGCTATAAACAAACTTAAAAGATTAGTAGGCGGTTTATTGTCTGCAACTATCTAGATTATTGTAAATTGTAATTCTACTAATGCAACTACCTATAGTCCATTCGCTGAACTTAAGGAATTAAGAATTTACAATTTAAGCTCAGTGAATAGACTATAAGTAGATGCACATGCGTTCGGTCGAACCGATTGAGTACAACAAGCCGCGAGAATTCGTCCTGTTTAAATTAAACGCGTCGATAAACGTGCGTTTTCTTCGGGAGACCGAAAAAATTCCGCTTTTCTGAAGCGTACTTAAGTTATGATTTAAAGCATACGGTGCGCGTGCGGCGTGTACACGCCGATTTATAGAAGAACCGCCGGGAAAGCACATGTGGCATGTGTTACGTGTAGAGAGAGGGCTCCTTCAAAAGGGGTCACTTGAGTGTTCCTTTCCGAACAAATGCACCTAGGCTTGTGCCGTTTGGCGTGCATTTAAATCACATCGGCCATATGTCGAGGTTGTTAAACACGTTGTCGGCTATTTGTTATACTCCGTTCGCTATCGGGAGATTGTAATAGATCCTAATTATGCATACGAAAGATAGCTCGGGTTACTCAAGGAAAGAAATCGTAAAATTCGTAAATTTTAAAGCTTTTATGGTGTAATAGTTATGTTTATTTTGCTTTATTAGTGCTACTCTGTATACAGAATGAACAACAATAGACGATATATTCAATAGTGCCTAATTTTTATTTATTTACTGCTTCAGAAAGATTTTATTATTACTATATCCTGATGGCGAACGGTCAGTTATAATCAAATACATGCGATGCATTAGCTTCTAAATATCAACTTTCTTATTTCTTTTCTTATATAAACTCTGGGAATCCCAAAAACACATTTATTATTCTACTGAGCTTTAGAACTTATAATACATTTCTTCCTTCTTTCAAGCGGAAAAAGTCGCCCTCCCTACACCCTATAAAGTCACTTCCTGCAGGAAATATAAAATATGAGCAAAAAATTTTTGCTCCATACCATTCCCTAAGCTATAATAGGAAGCTGCACGGTTTTACATCAAATCCTCACATCTGGCGATGAATTCGCGTGGGACGTTACGAAACGCTTTTTTCTATCGTTAACCGATGTTTGATAAACAATTTTTCATCGCATCGTGCGAGCCCATATCAACGATCTTCTTCTATTAATAACAATTAGGCCTCTGTGAGAGAACCGAGAACCGTTTCGTTTGATTCAAAAATTGCCCTGCTCGCCTTAAACGGCCCATTATCGAATTCGCCTCAGCAGGAATACGAGGATTATCGATCGTTATTCACCCCACATTACAAGATGGTACTCTTCGTGCGGTTATTACCCGAATACCGTCGTAAACAAACAATGAACAATGAAGGTAATCCCACCAAGGCTGCCTCGAAATGTTACCTAACAATTACCGCGCGCCGCTCGCTTGATTACAGGACGTTCTTCGCGTACTGGAGGTTTTCTTTTCTCGTTCGTCACGTGAGAAAACCGCCGGCTTTTTCCCTCGTTTTCTGCGGAAGGTTAAACGATTAAATGCTTGGTCAATGAGGCGCTGTGTGAGAAAAAAAACGGCGTTTATCTGATTGGAATTGTCGGTGTACAACAATGAGATGAGGATTTTTCCAACTACCCCGGTATATCTAATACGGGATGATTTATTGTAGGTAGAGGAAATTTGCAATTTTCATATTTGACGTGGAAGAATGAAGGAATGCTAATAGTGTAGTTATAGCACAATGTTTTGGTTACGGGGGGTAGTAGAATTGTCCAGAGCTAACAATAAAGTAAAATTTGCAAAATGGGCTTCATCCTGAAGGATATGCTAATAGTGCAGTTTTTTGTTACGGGGGCAGTACAAAAAATTCGACGTTTAAAAACAACAAAAGAGAAGATATTTTAATTGTAAATTTTTAATGACTACCAACAGTAAATCTGCGACTAACGAGCATCATATTACCCGCAGAAATTATTCCATATTATCCGTACAATCGAGGCGAATAAAAAAAACTTACACTAGCCGGCGTTTATGCCGATTCCCAGCGACAGTTAACCGGCAGAAACAATACCAGAAAAACAATGAAAAAGGCTAAAAATTCGCGGTAAACGTGTGAGAATTCCGTTCCCACCGAATTGGGTCGCCTTGCAAAGGTCGAATTCGTACGCACAAGTACAAACAATCGCGAATTGTTTCGTCTTTAATTGCCATTATTGTTGTAACCTTTGGAATAATTTCCACCGAAAAAATTATGCAACATTTCGGGATGTTTTAATTAATGCATAATGAAGCTATAAGTATTCGTTTGCCAGTCATAATGTGTGCAGATTTTCGCTTATTTTGTGGTCACATTGCAACATAATGGGATCCAATTAACGCATGCGGGTAGCGAGAGGTTTTATGACACAAACGATAATTACGTTGTTAACATAAGGTTTTAATTAGAGTTACAATGAGATGTAGAGACATGTGCAACGAATTTTTCGAACGCACCTCGTAGGAACAACGAGAGTCTAAAAGGATCTAGCAAGCGACGATACGGTCGATGGAGATCTTTTGTTAGGAAACTACTATTTACTTTTTACGTATTTCGAGTATCGCCTTTCGAGAATTCTAAATAATGGTGCACCTTGCTCGGTTTTTATTTCGTTCTGCTGCTGTAAAACGAGCACAAAAGGAAATCAAGGTCTCGATTAATTTGTAATTATCGCTCACAATAATTGTTCATTAAATTCATTGTTTTGTTAGTAACACAGCGGGGTTTTTGCTCACCGTAAAATTGACTTTCTTATCTACAGTATTTAAAAAAATTGTGTCATGATTTGTCTCAAAATAGCGGTGTTTTTGGGATAGTATGTTGTGAAATTACTACTTAGTGATCTTTCCCAATTATTTAACGACCCCGGTAGACGGAGTAGAAAGAAACTTTAACGACGGTAAAAACTAAAATTCCCATGCCCACGATCGGAGGATGTTCTCATGGTGTCGAGTGGCATCTGGCCGCCGCACGGCCCTTCTCAGCACCATGTGGAATTTTTTCGGTACGTTTTCGCAACATGAAAACAATTCCTTCCTCTACTCGCGTCTTTTGCGCGTTTCGAAATCACCGAATCGTCCATTAACTCGAGCGAAATATAGAATATTGTTGCAAAACGTGTAAGCAGGAAGAAATAATTACACCCTTGGATCTCGAAAGCAGCCATTCAAAAGTTAATAAGAGTTTTCCCGTGTGCGCATCGTTTAGGAACGCGCGCAAATAACTCTTATCATAGTTCTAATCGTCGACGTTCGATTTACGAGGCCGCGAATTAATCAATTTCATTTTTTTTCTAAATAGTTTAATAGTTCAATAGTTTCGTAACTACTTCCTATTCGAGTCGATAGGCGCAGAAGCGGCGATGGGAAATTATTTAAACATACGAGGGTTGCTATTCTCGGTGCGATTCGTGTGTGAAGAATTTTTATGTTACTCGGCGTCTAATTGTTATTTTACACCCGACTCCGGTTAGCTGAATTGAATGTTAAGCGAAAAGAATTTCGATAAATATACGCGGAGTCATCTCGAATAATTTTAATACAACACTTTAAGGTTTCAGAATACATCATGAAATTATTGTAAAGTTCAAAATTACATATCTCCTAATTCCACACGCATATTTATCTTCAAAACAAATATTTCGATAATTACATATTATTGTATATTTCAAACAATCTCGTTATTTACGCTAATGGCAGGAAACGGTTACCCGCTCTCGTTATATTCCTGAAATAAAAGGTGCCAATCGAAAAACCGGTGTATACACTCGCAAATTCATACAAAAACCGAAGGTCGACGCTAATTATGCAGGATTTTAAACGCGACAAATGAGCTACTCCGAACAAAACCACCCCGATGCTCGATTTCCTGCAGATGTAATTGTTTTTTGCTAACAATTGCTGCTCGGCATGTGCATTAACGGAAACGCACGAGCTCATTGTAATTGGTTTTTTATTCATTAAAATTAATCGATATCTATGTATTAATTAATTGGATATTTTACATACCTGTACAGAATCATTCAAAGAGGAATAGCTCGAGGACCTGCTCCCCAACGGCTCAGGACTCAGGCTCCCGTAGGATACTGTCGAACTGAGAGACACCGTGTCAGCTCTGCTCCTGTAAGGAGAAAGCTGCACGTGTTTCATCATCTAAAACAATAAAAAAAAATACAATTATTGGCGACAACATGAAGAGTAAGTCCAATCTATTAATAGTAACAGTAACGTTTTCGGTAATAGACCCTTTCATTTCCTCTTCGGTAGAGTAAAATTACACCCTTTCAGCGGAAGTTTCCATTTGTTCCTAAGACAATCGGTGATTTGTAGGGCTCGTACGGGTCGGAATGCTATCGATACGATTTTTTTTTTTCGTTTTCTAACATCCTGTTCGGTGCAGGTCGGTAGCTTCTCGACGAATTTTGAGGCCAGAGAGGTTTTTTCCTGCGATTTTTACAGATCGAAAGGCAGGAGGTATGTGATCTCTGGCTACAGATATCTCGCCGGGCGTAATGGGATCTCTGCGGTTTCACAACATATTTGCGGCCGTGATTGAGAGAAGTAAACGAAATAAAAACTAGGCCGGTGCAACAAATACACAGGATGTATGAGAGTTTAATTCAACCCTTATGTTAGGTATTATATTATAGAAAATAACATAGTAAAAATTGTTGTTGGAGATTAGTTTATGAAAGTATCGGTGGAAAAAAATTGAGAAATCGCTTCACCGGAACAAATCGCGTTTTTTATTTAGCGCTTTTAATAAAAGTGAAAAGTTTCTTAAAAACACAGATTAGTAATTGTATACTTCTCCAAATTCTATACCTATAATCACACCGAATTAACCGATTCTTTTTGAAAGGATGAAATTAATTGAGCGTACGAGCAATTAACTAGGCAGGTAAACAAAAATCTTTCACCAAATTCGAATACAAATAAATAAATTTTTCCTCGTTTTTAGAGACGCTTTTGTGTCATTGACACGGAGAAAGAGTTGCACTCGTTCATCCAACAGTCGAAGCGGAGATTGAATAAACAAAAATCATTGACTTATTCCTAGTTTCCTGTCAAGGGAATGCACCTAATTAATATATACAGCACGGCACGGTTAATTGTCCATTATTAAACGTTTCCCGTTATGTAAAAAAGCATTCCGCGCAGGGCCGTACTCACAAAAAACAACGACCGATTTAAAGACAAATTTTATCGACATTAGATAGCCTTTGGAGGAATAATTCATCAGAAAATTTATTTCGTAATAAAACGTTGATTACAGAAATCACTAGGCGCTATTGTATTGGGAAATTTTATACGTACAAATAATCCCTAATGGCATTCTGCGGTTGCATGGTGATTGATTGCGAGTTTCCCATACGAAATTTTAAAGGTGGTACCGTAGGATTTTACTGCAGGTATGGTATTGTATCAAGTATCCTGTACCGCCTATATACTGATTCTTCAATGGATTAAAAATACAGTTATACGAGGGTGTGGGAATTTAATGAGTGTCGCTCCATAAAATTTTATATATCTAAATAAATCTAGTGGATTTTCTTTTGATCTAAGTATAGTTATCTGGTCCGGTTTATCGACACGTGTTCCTCGGAGGTTATCTCCGAAACTCGCCGCTTAATTTGTCATTCACAAACGCACCTTTGTCTTTTTTTTCTACTCTCTCTCGGGTAATTATCGCCGGCGTAATTAAGTAATTGCTCGATTAAAACGCTCGAACAACAAGCTCCTTATTTCGGAGTAGGCATCGGAAATAAGTCGGGAAAAAAACCGAGAAATTCCGCTCGGAATTATTTCTAAATCGATTCAATCAACGTCGTGAATGAAAAGATAAATAGATTTGTGTAATGGAAGCGCACAAATCGTTCTTTGTTGGTGCGCTGTTGATTTTAGTCCACAAAAACGGCCAGTGTGTTAATTCGGAGTCTGAAGAAAGCAATCAAACTCGACTAATTGCATGTGAAAATTCGAATTTAAACGACTTAATTGGTTCGAAAATAACAACTACATAAGTAGGTTCTTATCGATATGTGCAAGTGAAAGTCCGTTATGTAAAACCCACAAAACGTATTAAAAGGGCGCGGTTTCGGAATTCCTGTCTCCCCTTTTTTCATTCAAATCCACTTGATTAATAGATTGTCAAATAAATATACTCGTACGTGTTTAGTTCCTGTTTCTTAATTATACTCCGTTCGTCATCAGGTGATACTAATAAAACCTTCTTGAAGCAGCAAACTCTAGGCGCGCCTATAAATAATTAAAAACTAGGCACTTTTGAATTAATAATTTGATTAAATAATTAACAACTATCTATAGCAATAACTAGTACGTAATTTAGTTTTAATGAAAGTGTTAATTTTTTATTTTAGTATGTCAGGTCGCATTATCAGACATTAAAACCTCCTATTATTACTCACCCTGTATACAGAGTGGCACTACTAAAGGAAGATAAACATTATTATTACACTTTGAGACTTTATAAAAAGTTTTGAATTTTTTTAATTTGTTAATTGTTGAGCTATTCGTAGTTTGCATACAAAAGATTTTATTGCAATCTCCTAATAGCGAACGGACTATATATCACTACATCTTCGAAATTAAGATTCTTATAGTATTTATTAGATAATTAGGTATTTATTGTAGGTATATAAAACCTGCATGCAATATACTTAGTTAATTAAATTTTAATGAGCGATATCGTTTGGATAGCATCTAGTTATAAGGGTAGTTGCCCCCAGCACGAAAACTCCACCCTTGTTTGTTCTATGATGTAAGTATATGCACTTTCGTGGCGCACCCAATTTTCTCCAAAAGTAAATTTACCCATCCCCGACCAATTACCCCTAAGGGCTATTAAATAAATTGGGTTTTACGAGCCATTTCCCCAATTGGAAAACATCAACTACCATACGGAGTATACTACGCTTTAATTTACTTCTTACTGTTCTTATAGGAGTTCTCCTTGATGACGAAGGTAACGCGCTGAATTTTCCGATTTTGTTGTTTGTCCCAGCCGGTTTGTGTACGCGCTTTTACGTAACCTGTAGGTGTCGAAAAATGCCCGAAAAAGTCCACACGTAGGCAGGACGGTCCGAAATTTCTGTTATTACACCTTTCACAAAAGCACCTACGCTAACGCGCGGGATCACCCGCTTCGAAAGTTCAAAAAATCTTTGTTGTTTCCACGAAGAACCCGCCAGTAGGCGTAAGCGATATCTTGATATCTTCACAATAAAATCTCCTAATATAGGCAAGATTTTTCCGGAGCATACAATTACCCGAAATATTCCTTATAGATAAATTACGGTTTTAATATGCAGGTAATTGTTTATGTATGTAGGTATTTCGTACGTGCGATTAAAGGATATAAAGCAGGATCTTTTTTAAAATCGTTTTAAAGGTCGCATCGGTCACGGTTTAAGTGCCATCCGTAATGGTTTTTTTTATTAAATGAACAAGTTCGAAGCGATTCCGTTAAACAATGCGGATAATTAAAGCGGCGTAATCGCGAAAAATATTACAATTACTAACGTGCGTTTGTTTACTACAAGCGATATTTTTTTCGGGATTGTATAATATCGATTAAAAATTTTGCAAAAGTTATTGCACAATTTGTTAATAAATATCGTGATTTACGGTAATAGAATTGTGTAGAATGGTCGATAAGTTGAAAAGAAAGTGTTTAGTACTTAGTAATATTCGTTACTTAACTAATCTCAGCAATAAATTACTTATTTTTGTTTCGTATTTTGTACGCGAATATGTGGGACTTTAAGATGCGTTCGATGATACATTAAACGAAAACTGGCAATATTGACATTAATGACATTTTATATGACAGAAGTTTAATAGAGGTGGGAATTATTTTTGAATAGAGGTGCAGTAACGACTGTTACAAAATAATCGTTATATCTCATATGATTTTACAAATTTTCTGGTACTTATTTAGATATTGTTATTGTTTGGTGGGGAATTCCTGTGCACCGAACGAAACATCTATGTAAAATCCCAGATGAATGCACCTAATTATGACATAATCACCCATTGACATATGACATATATGACATAATCGAAGTTACCTTTCACCCGGCAATTTCACACACGTTCACCAAGATAATTATCACCAGATTAATCTATCAAAATTCGACCAGTCGATTTCCATCGAACGAAAATAAGAGAAAAATCCTACGCAGGTTTATTTAGAACTGTACACATTTGCATTACAAACAAAAGTGGAGGGCTCGCCCACCGGACTCGCTTTTGATTGACTCGTTGACCTTTTTTAAAATCCTTCGCTAAAGCATTTTAAACAATTTTCCCGGTCGACTAGATTTTTTCGAGGCGAGCTCGAATCCTTCGGCATGCAAATTTTGGTTTTCTCGCAAAAAGTGAATTTAAAAGTAAAATTCTCGTATTGACCTTCCCAAAAATATTCCCATGGATAAAAAGCAATCGTTGTAATAACCGCGTAATTACATTATTATCTAATCGCCGCAATTATAGGTGCAATTAGCCCGAAATAAGATTAGTCACGGTGTGTTTGAACTCTTCGAATTTTTATCGGGCGAAAACTTCCTCGATTCGCATTGAAACGATTCGGCTCGTGCCGAGGCGCGTTCGATTAATTGGCTTCTAATCGCGCCCGAGAGCAAAGATCCCGCGGAAAGGTTACCGAAATTCCCGGCGATTAATTCGACGTTAATTGCGATCGGATTTTACGTTTCAAGCAAAAGGAAACCGTAAAAATTTTCAAGAGTTTTCCTCGTTCGAGCGACCAGCGCCGAAAGATTTATTGGAAGTTGAAAGTGGCGTTAGATAAAAATTTATGTTGTTTGCAGTGGGAAGCGCATCCGGTTGAATTGTATTTTCAAACGCGCGCCGGTGAACAGGAGGACGTTGCGAAACAATAATTAAATAGTAAATAAGTTATCGATTTAATTTTACATCGAAAATTGATTGGAGTTTGTATCGAAATTGCCAAATTAAAATTCCAAATTTCTTCAATAAAACATTTCTACAAAAAATACAGTTAAATATTTGAATATATTATGATCGAAAATGAACGAAAATTTCACCATTATTAGTCAATAAATAGCACTTACTTTGACAAATCCACGAAGGAAATTAATCCGTTCGGCACTCACTGATATCCCGGTCACTATAGACAAAAAAATATCCGTGAAAAACCCCACCGAAACTCGATTTATATTCGTATTCGAAAAGCGCGCTTACTCACGCAAACCCGCATCCATCGAGCGCATTTGAACTACTCGCGCGACGATTGCGCTACTACTAAAATCCAAACTCTACAACAAACACCATCCGAACTCAACTCTCCCGGCGCAGCTTTCTTTCAGCGCTTTTCGGACCCGGCTCTCGACGAGCATTCCTCTATTTCTACCTAGCTTATTCCTCGACGGACGGTCCTCGGCGATTTGAATTCCTAATGCGGTGGTTTATGCCTTTTTAGTAGCGCCTTTTCGAATCTCGAATCGAATCTATTGTTGGTTCTTGCGATACGCGCTCCTTTTGTTTCGAGCTCGAAGGAGACTCTCACGCTTTCGATCAATTAAATTTTAATTATTAGACAAAGGTGCAAGAAGGTATAGGAAGCGCTGCAGCAGATTGCATTAAAACTATCGATAACAATATTATCTACTACCTCCTAATGGCGAACGGAGTATAATTAAGTTAAGGGAAACGTTGGTATAGTGCTAGAGTTGAGTTGGCTTCCTGTGGGTAACTAAACCATTAGGTTATGTTGTAATTTATTTTTGATTTGCTTTTTAAGTAGCGGGTTTTTATGATTTGTTTGATATCATTGGACGTTGTGGAATGCCATTTCGTCCGGTAGCGGTTTCTTCTCGGGTCGTCACTTCCATCGAGGAGAAGTTACCTTGCCGGGGGCCAAGGAAACCGATTCTCCGGCGCGGCTCGAGCGCTGCTGGATTTAATTATACTCCGTTCGACATAATAGTAATACTATCGCCTGATGTCGAACGGAGTATAGTCGTTTGAATTGATGAGAATTTATGGGTTTCACAGCGAAATAGATGAGTTATACACTGTGTTATTTATAATATGCGACATAGGGATTCCTGTACAAATGTGTCAAAAGCAAGCTAACTTTTTTACCAAATAACGTTCATAAAAAATAATAACAGATTTGAAAAGATCGTAAAAAATAGGTCGAAATGGACATTAAATTTTTATAAATTCGTTCTGGTTTATTAAAAAAATGTATAATTAAGTTGAAAAAGTCATACGCCATAAATAATTTCTTTTTATAACACTATCTAATTTGTTGTAAAAGGGGCGGAGCTAACAGAGATGGTTAACGCTCTGCAATTTGAATAATTAGTTTTTAAGTAATGTGGTTCAAACCGCGCTTGGGCCAAAGTTTTTTTTTGTTTTTTTTTTTTGGTTTTTTTAATGTTTTTGTCTAAAAAAATGTTAAATAAAAGTATTTAAAATAAGACAAGCTTATTTGAGATTTAATTTTATTTTTATTTAAATAAAAGCTCCGACAATTAATTGTCAATTCTGATAATACAAAATCTCGTTAGTAGGTAGAGCCTTTAAATTAATGCCATGTTTTTATTAATGACAAAAAAACATTAAAAAAAACAAAAAATACCAAAAAAAAAAAACAGAAAAAAATTTCCACACTCGCGGTTTGAACCTTAATCCTTCACCTAGAAATTTTCAAATTTCAAAGCGTCAACCAACCCTGTTAGCTCCGCCCCTTTTTACATTTATTAGATAGTGATATAAAAAGGAATTATTTATGGCGTATGACTTTTTCAACTTAATTATACATTTTTTTATTAAATCAGAACGAATTTAAGAAAATGTAATGTCCATTTCGACATATTTTTTTACGATCTTTTCAAATCTGTTATTATTTTTTACGAAAGTTATTTGGTAAAAAAGTTAGCTTTCTTTTGACACATTTGTACAGGAATCCCTATGTCGCATCTTATAAATAACACAGTGTATACAATCCAAGTAAAGGTGGAGAGAAAAAGTGTTGATTAAAAGTATACCGAAATTTCGCGAACGAATCTACCGTAATAATATAGCAAAAAGAGAGTAATTGAAAATGTAATGGAGGTGACTCAACGCGTTGGGTAAGATGTCCTCGGGCAAGGTTGAGCGTTAGATTTTTATTAACTTCACGACTTCTGCGAATACGGTAGCGATCTCGGAATTTCTTGTGATATCGTGCAACTATCGGAATTTAGCAATTTTATTTCTTCGAAAGGAATTTCTGGAGGGGGCACAATTTTTTCCAGCTCGCTTTAATTGAAACCGCAATGAAATTCCGCGTTAGTTAAAAAAAATCGAAAATTGAATTGTTCAAATGCGTCCGTCGGGTATGAGTCGATTTTGAAATTTCTCCAAAAATTCATTGGCCAACGAGCATTCCACGAATTTATTATCGACATTTCTGTTATTTATTATCGAGCGGATAACTAAATTAGAATTTCGCTCGTAAAACGCCGAATTAGTTTCGTCGCGATTTTGCCATACAAAATTCGTTTAATTAGTCGCATTAATTAAATCGAGCCGGATGTTTGGTAATTTTCTAACATAACTGGCACGACCTTGCACTTTAAATACTTTAATAGATGCATGGAGCTAATTTGCCGAATTTATTGGATATATAGGTGAAGGGATAAATTCCACAGATATTTTACCTACTTATATGTTTGCTAATAATTTCATCAGTATTAGCAATATACCAATCACACCTGCGAATTCTCTGATTTTGTCATCGTGTGTGATTCACCGCGAAAATGCAGTTAACATTGTTAATTTTGCCATCAAAACATTAGCGAAATCCTTACTCATATTGGAATAAATTTCCATACCTACTTATATTAAAGGATGATTCCATATACAGTTAAGTACAAATCTGTACGCAATATGGTGCAACAAAGACAACTTGTATTAGTCTCATATAAAAGAAAAGGACGTCGTGATATTGTGGGATTCCCACTTACTCACTCTAACCACTCTTATTTTATTAATCATTCTTTGTTCAACTCATAGAATTGAATATATCGCAAACACATTTGCACTTGTCCATATATCCACATTAGCTCCGTTTACTTTCTAATCGAATTTCTCACCCATTGTTTAATGAACTCGCGATGGCTCCGTCTAGATAAATCCTATAATCAAAGTAATAGGAAAAATAATAATCACGATAATCGCCCGCCGCGGGCGGATTGATGCCTAATGGCATTTAATTTTGATGAAAAAAAAATATATATATAAAAAATTTTCACTTTCCTGCGGTATTTTCGTTTTGTAATTATCTGAATCTGTACTGTTCGGTGTCGAGTATTCGCTTGAAATTAATTCGATAATTGGATAGAACAGTCTCGTTGTTGGTGATAATAGAGGTAAAAGTGAATACTTAAGTTTGTAGAAAATTCGAGCTTATTTGGTTTATTTAACAAATAAATTAGTAAAGCAAGTTGTAAAAGCATCTACTTCTGCATAAATTATTTTCCCTACTTTTACAAAAGTTTTCTTCTCTCTACTTTTACAAGACATTTTTCTCTCTACTTTTAAGATTTTTTTCTCTCTACTTTTACAAGATTTTGTTCTCTCCACATCAACATTTTTTTTCCATCTACTTTTACAAAAATTCTCTCTACTTTTACAAGACTTCTTGACTCTTTTCGTTTCCAAAATTCTCCTACTTTTATAAGTGTTATTTTACAAGAATTCTCTCTACTTTTACAAGAATTCTTTCAACATTTGCGAATTCTCTCTTCTTTAAACAGTCTCATTTTTGACCCAAATCCAATTATTCGTCGGAGAAAACGGAAACTCGACCATATGTTGGTACCTACATAACCTACGCACGGACCCATCCGCTGCCTAAATGTTAAACGAACTGCGAAAAAACATCCGGGACATTATCATCAATCCCGATAACCCCCCTTTAAAAATTTCAATAACCCACAAATTGGCGTAAAACCGACGAATTCGACTCGTACTTACTCACGCCCGATTACTAATAACCAAACGAGCGAAATCTCCACAAATCCTCTCTTCATAATAAGCGGCCAATTACGTGTAACGACCTTAACAACACCGCGGAGCGTTCCGTCGGTTCGCGGCATTCCCAGGAGTCGACGAAAAGCCGCGGAGACGGCGTCGATCGTCCAGCCACCGGAGCGGAAAAAAATTCCACGGCGACTAATTATACTCGCAGACTGTAAAACACGAGTAATTGAGCACTTACGCAGTACGAAGAAAGACCGATGAGGAGTTTGTAATGCATATCCCATCCGAATGGGAGTTCACATGAGAAATATGTCTCTTATTTAGATATTGTGTTAGTGAATTTGAGCGGTTCTTATTTTCTTATAGCACAATGCTCTTTGTTCAGGAATGGGTATTTTATCGAATTATTGTAGTTTTAGATTTGTTTGTTTTGTGTGTAGATAAAATATTTCCGTTTAATTTGATTATATTGGGTAATAATCGTTAGGATGAAATTATGATAAGAAGATTCAATAGAGAAATTAATTAAATCCTGCGGAATTACAATAATTTTAAATTGTAAATTCGCAATAATCAGCAGAAATGTATTTAATATTCAACATTTGTGACCTATTTTATACAAACTTCCGACAGAGTTTTTTGATTAATGAATTTTCTACCTTCATTAACATTACTTATAATTACCGTATTTGGTAGGAAGATGCATACCCGCATTAATTGGCGCAATCAAATCAATTAAAGATAAACATTTTAACGTTCGATTTAACGAAAAAATGGATTCGCACAGGATGTTCTTGTGCACGTGGGAATCGCTCATTTAAATACCGACCCGATTCGATTTTTACGCTAACGTTACATCTAACGTAAAACCTTACGCAACGAAGGTTACGCCAGCAGTTCGACAGGTGGCCCTAGATTCGACTTTTTGCATAGTAAAAACGAGTTTCATGAATGAAATTTCCTTGAATGAACCGATCGCAGATGCCTACTACGACTTTCTATTCTCTCACCCACTCGATTATCATTCAAGAATGGTAATTATTTTACCCACGCCACCTATACAGATATTGGAATGAAATCGGCAAAAATATTACGAATCCAAGGAGAGGCAATAATAGTGATAAAGTGTACCGTTGAAAAGGAAAGAATTTTCCAATGGTGATTTGTTTACTAGAGAAAAAATCGATCATTAAATCACCCTGTATTCTAACACGAATCTTTCTCTATAAACACTTTAGTATACCGTCAATACCTTAGTTCAAAACACACATAATTTATGACTGAATTGATACTAACTGTATTTATTTTATACAACATTTATCTATTGTTCTATCTACCTTTCGATCGAGCCCATTCGATGGAACTCGTAGATATTATTTAATCTGTAACCGTTCCCAAATCCTTGACGGCTGATGGACATCGGTTTTAAACAATCCCGAAGCTCTTCCCGGTTCATCTTCAAAGAATCCACAACTCGCCTTTGTCTCTCCGAAGCACCAAATGTTAGCAATCACAGAGCACGAAACAATAAGGCATAGGAATTACATTACGTTTTAGGTTCGAGCGGGTCGATGACGGATGGTTTTTTCGGCCATTTAACGCCCTTTTACCGCCCACTGTCGAGTCTAGTAGAATCTCAAGTAGAGCCGGTGCGCCTCGTCGCAGCAGTAAATGCTGCGAGGGTTCTGGTACAAGCCGCAATCGGGGCACAAATTCCGATAGGGGCGGTTTCTGTGGAATTTGTAGTGGATGTAAAATTCCGAAGCGGCGCAAAAGGTACTTCGGAGGTTCGAAATTCTCACGTACATCACCAGTAACAGCGCCAAAAAGTGCATGAAACCGCACAGTAATATCAATTCCAGTACGCGGATTTCTTCCAGGGATGTCATACTGACAAGAAACGGGTAAAAAAATTAAGCTGGTTTCAAAATTTATTAGCCCGAGTAAATTCTGCGGCTTGTTAACATTTTGGCCGGGTCATCTGATTATCCGAGCAATCTGGTTCGTGTACCTTTCGGTTCTCCGAGCACGCAGAGATTTAATCAAGCAAAAATTGCCGGGCAATCTCGCGTCAAAGTAATTGCAGATGCTAAAAAAAATCGAGCAATGACTGGTGCACTATCTTGATGGACGATTCCAGTTTCGATGCTCGGAATTAGCATAGCTGTTTTGATCTTTAATAAGCCCTTAAAAGAGCTCTATTCCTGCGATACAGAAACTGTTACTAGACTAGATTTGTTTAAGAATCGACTAGACAGAAATTTCAATATTTTGTTATGCAAAATATTTGGTTAAGCGGCTGGAAATCGGGAGATGCCCAGACCGAGATACGGTGGTTTCCGTGGAGGCAGGGTCACAAGTTCACGTCTCATGAAATTCGATTTGCTCTGGACTGGTTTAAGGTCGCTTTAGGAGAATAAAATGGATTTAAAAGGCGCGGAGGAACCGGTCGAGTGATATTGTAATGATCGAATATGCTAATGGCTGGCGCGAGTTTTGATTAATTCGGTGTGTTTTTTTACCGGGCGACATAATAAAATTCTTTCGGAATTAATCTGTGTCGAATAATATGTTTTCGGCCGGTCGAAAACTAACAGGCGAGCGTGAAGAATGCGGGGGAAATAAGCTTGTTTTGCAGCACGTGTTTGTTTAAAAAAATGTTTTAGCTGTATTACTCGTGCTATTACCGGGTGTGCGGATAATCAGAAGATCAAACATGTTTGAACGAAAATCAAAGTTGTTTCCTTATTTGTAAATGCAAATCGAAATATACAGGAGAATTTAAGGTTGTGCAAAAGATCATTCCAAACCGAATTCAAGGAAGAAATTTAGTCACATTTAAGTAACTAATATCCAACAATCAATTAGCACATCTTATCAACTGTATTTGCATAAGTAGTTTCGAGAAAAACGTTTTATAAATTATCAGATTATTTTAGACAAGCGAAAAATTAACCGCTGTTACCTGGAATTATTTCTGCGCTCAAATGGTTTTTCTAGCACGTCTTTCAACTGCACAAACAATCGATATAACGTATAAACATTCAGGTAGCGAATTATCGAATGCGAGACGACTGCAGCATTTTAATTCTAATATTTATTGCCATATTTGCATAAAGTTGGGCCATCGCATTCTCGCAAATATTTCACTGGAAAACCTTTTTAAAATAACCCAATGATTCAATCGTTTAACTGGCCAATTAACTCCTGTTAATTTTACCACTTACATAATTTTCCTGCAAAATAATTACTGCAAATATAACGCACAAACCATTGGCCACAAAGTTTAGTATTAATAGAATTAATTATTCATATTTTATGGGTACTTTTCCCAGCGAGTCTATAAAATATTCCTGTACAAAACATATTGAACGTTCATAATAGAAAAAAACAATTATTACTTTGGCTCTATTAATTGAATTGGATATTCATATTTTATGTATACTTTTTCCTGCGAGTCTAAGCTATTCCTGCACAAACCATTGCACCTCCATAATAGAAAACAAAGCAATTATTAATGTAGCTAGTTTAGTGTAGAATCTAATAGAATTGGACATTCAGGTAGTGTAGTATATAGCCGATAAAGGCACGTACTTCCTGCGGAAGGTGACCAGGAAATGCAGGAGGCTACGTTGCCGCTCTCCCACGGGGTGGCCTTTTCGCGGCCTTTTATCGAAAGCCGTTCAGGCGAGCTCCTGCGAACCGGGCGCATCGCTACAGGCAGGCGGATGTGAAGCCGCTGTGACGGATTTTTCGAATCGTGGAAACGATCCGATTTATTGAAAAGTGTAGAGAGTCCGGTTGAAAAACTGGCTGAGTGGTGAAGTTCAGGATGTGAGAGATAGATGGTTTTGTTTTGCCGCAATAGGCGTAATTTAATTTGATATCCTGCCGTGGATATTTTTTTTTCGGTGCAGAGGAAACTAATTAACACATACGTGTAATAAAATTCTCCAATTAAGCGAATGGTAACATTGTATTAATTCCCGGCGATAATTCAATAAATCATGCGGCGATTATGTCGAAGTCGTTGATAATCTAATTATAGTTTTACGGATGTTTCGAGCATAACGAAAGCTTCTGCGATTCTTCACGCCTTTAAATTTGCTCCGGTTCTAATCAGTGATGATTGAGAAGGACCATTTAATTGATTGATATGCACTTTTCCTTAATTTCACATTTATTTGTCCATCCTTCCAGATCTTTATTATTATCATTCGTTTGTCTTACGTGTCTTTTAACCTTGTTGATTGAATTCAGGAAGCGGATTAGCGCAGAACAATTCAATAAGAGTAAATGAAAACATAAAAAAATGGAACGCCTTTCAAGGTAACTTTGAAATGTTTATTGTTTATTTATTTAAGTTTTCTAGGTACCTACAGAGCATAGTAGATTGTTTGAATTTTTCGGTGAAAAATTTTCACATTATTTATGGAATTTTAATTGCATATAAACCGATCGGTATTTCTCATTTCATTGAATTATGATGCAAATGAAGCATATTCTAAAATCCGATAATTTATTTAATTCGATTCCAATTGGAAATTAATAAAGTTCCAGCGCAAGTTCTCACATTAATATGTAGAATAGAAGCGGGAGCATCTATGCTGTTATGACCGGTTTCGTAGGTCAATATTTCGAAAGAAAATCGAGAAATTAATTCGGATTGGAACTCATCCAGTCTCATAAGATTTACTAAACAATTTTTTTTACATTTTTCCTTATTCTCTTCACTTTTTTTTTCATGTGAATAAGGAAATAATTCAGATTTCGCTCAACCTAGTTCACTAGTTAGTTTCCTCCGATTCATTAGTTTGTATTTGAGAGAAATTTTATAATTATTACGACGCAACATTTGCAAATATCTCGTCGGGAATTTCAATTTCGATCGAAATCATATAATGTACTTCAATCGACAATATACAATATACAATGAGATTCGAAAGTAGTGAGAAACGCGCATGGAGGCGCGATAAAAATGGAAATCCAGGTGAAATTTCTAGTTCGCAAAAAACGATAATACAATAAATGCAGGAAGTTTATTGTTTGTTTATTATTTTTTTCAATTCTACTGCTAATCTGCACAGAGGTAATCCTATGACGTTGTTGCAATCGCCTTCTATGCGCTCCACGAAGGTGCTGGCTATGCCTTGAATGCCATAACCCCCGGCTTTACCCCTGTAAATATTGCCAGAATTATATCCAGAAATACTTCTATCTAGAAGTACTTACATGGGTTCCCCCGTATCAACGTAAGCCGATATTTCCTCTTTAGTTATTTTATGCATGTACACTGTGGTAACTTCAGTGAATTTGTGTATTTCGTTTAAATAACGAATAACCACCCCGGTGTAAACCGAGTTGGGTAAATTGTGTTGCGTTAAACTGGAAAATTAAATCGATTTTAAATCGATTTTGAATCAATCCAAAACTGAATTTGGTAAATTGGTGTAAACTGAGTGCAGTAAATTGTACTGCGCTCAAGTGAAAAATTAAATTGATCGTGAATCGATCGAAAACTGAGTCGGGTAAATTGTTCTGCATTTAATTGGAGAATTGAATCGATTTTTAATCGATCGAAAAATGAGTTGGGTAAAATGTGCTGCGACTGAGAAGTGATTATTTAGTGATACATCTTGCTCCATTTCCGATTGCAACATGCAGGTCATTTCTATGAGTTGAACAAAGAAAGATTATTAAAATGATAGTTGTCAGAGTGAAAAGTTGCAATGACACAAATGACTCTTTCCTTTTCCTTTAAGTGTCTAATGCAGGGGGGTGGCACTTACTCTTGAAAATTTTGGCGAACGATTTTCAGCGCCATCCTTTGTCGGTGAACAACATTTTCTGTGACCGAACAACATTGGCAGTTAAGTCCAAGCAAAATAAAGGAAAAGAAGAATTCCTAAACAAATTGTTATTGTTTACAGTACGCCATTACGCCATTATGACATTACGCGTAAACGTTTATTTTTATAAAGTAAGTAGTAAAATTGTTCTTAAATTAAAATGTATGTCATTTATGTATTATATATTATTATCCTTTATTTATTTTATTTTTATTATATATTTGAGTGTATTATTTAGTAACAGTTCAATATAAGTATACAGCAAATATATGTATTTTTAATTCCTAACCACAATCTCACCTGCTACATTTAAATGTGTGAGAATTCCCGCCAATAAATGCTAAAATCTCATAGGTTCCTGTAATAGGTTTTGTTGGACCCCAATGGATGGCAGCACATTTAGGCCAACCACTTTTTTGACAGAGTGTCCGGTCTATATGTGTATTTTGTCTATGGTCTAATGGAAGTTGTCTTTATCGCACTCATGGCCTATATAACCTATGTTGCGATCAAAAATGGAGCAAACTGTATGTGATGGGCTTACTCTGTTATGGTCTTGAGGGCGTCTTCTCTGGATCGAGGTTTGCCGTACATTCTGCCGTTGAAGGCCACCATGGTGTCCACGGCTATGATCAAATCGGGTTTCCTTTGGTCGTTTTTCAGTTTTTCCCAGACGTTTTTCAATTTCCCCAAGGCCGTTTTTTCGACGAAATCGGAAAACGTGTGCTCTTTGGGGTCCAAATTTTCGTCGAAGTCCGACTCGACTATTTCGAATTTTACCTTCTAAAATAACGCAGAGAGCGTTGCGATTAAAAACTGCACCGCAGCGACATCTGTCGTCGTTTGACACTTACCGCGCTGCTGAGCAATGAAGCACGTTGTTTGGACTTGCTCGCTAAAATTACTCGCATTTCGTTCAACTGGCTAACAAACGGTTCCAACATTTTTCAATTATGTAACAGTAACAGCACTCTTTGAGAATTCTATTATCAACACTTGTCAATTGCACCCTAAATTAAATTTCTATTATCAGGAATTGCCGCGGATTATGTTTGCTGTTTTTGTGGTCTTAGAGAGAAGGAATTATTGGGATAACTGTCAACTGTCAAAAAAGTTTCCTGTAGCGCCCTCTGTTGGCGAATAAATGAAGTGATTCATGATAAATGAGACCGAATTTCGATTTTCATTGCAGATTAGGGAAAAATTCCCAGAAATTAAAACTTTATTTATTGTTTAATGCTCATTTTTACGAGTGTACTAATTTCAAAACAATAAATTAGGAGTTGATCTCTGGGTAAATACAAATATGAGCAATTCTATGAGTGCAACAAAGATAATTAAAATGACAGTGATAAGAGTGAAAAAGTTGCAATCTTTTAATATTACTTTTTTTCCTTCATATGAGACTAATGGAAGTTGTCTTTGTTGCACCCATTATTGCGTTTAAATTTGCACTTAAATGTACATTAGCATAAATATTGCTTGAGAAAAAGAAGGTAAAAGGATATAGAGAAGGTAATAAAAATTATTATAATTTAGCTGTCTTGATTAATAGGTATAAAGTGTTTTTGTTTTTCACAACATTTATTAAAACACTTTTTTTCTAATAGTTTTTTTCTACAGTTTTTATAAATCATTTACAATGTAGTAATAATAGTAATAATATGGAACGTAATAATAATATAATATTAATATAATAGGTTTTTATGTATGTATATATGTATAAATACTTCAATATACAGGATAATTTTTCACGTCTATAATAAATCGAAATAAAAAGAGCGATTTTTGTACCCACTCGAGAGTAAACTGAATAAAAAAATAAAACCGAACGAAAATTCAATACAAGCAACAATAATTGACTGTCCGACGTTCGCAATTCTTCAGTAACAAATCAGCAACAACGAAACTGGCTCTCCGCGGTGAAGCATCACCCTGTATACAAAAAACAACGAAAAACAAATCTACGCCGACACGCTCTCCACCATGGACTTCTTGATGATCTCGCCGAAGTTCTCGTCGGCCTCGTCGGCGCCGGCCGGCCGCTCGGCGCCCTTCTCGCCGCCCTGCTGGCACTCGCCCAGCCCGGAGAACTCGCCCTCGTAGGCGGGGTACGCGCCGTACCGGCCGCTCAGCAGCTCCGAGAACGACTCCACCTTGCCCGACGACGCCACGGGGCTCAAACTCGCGTACTGGCCGCCCTTCGGCTCCGCGAAGGCGTCGGCGCCGAACGGCGCCGCTCCCGCCGCCGGCGGCGGCTGCTGGAAGCCGCACTCGAGCGGCTTCTGGGCGAACTCCGGCACGTACATGTTGGCGTACGGGTTGAAGATCGGCGAGAATTCGGAGAAACCTTGGTAAACTGAAAACGCGAGAAAGTTAAAACCGTTATCTTGCAGGATTATTATTACACTCCGTTCGTCGTCAGGAGATTACAACGAGCCTTCTACCATAGTTAGCTTCATTAAGAAAGTGTTTTTACTATCTCCTGATGGCGAATTGAGCGTAACTACAATAGAAATAGTACCTGGATTTTTCTCTATGTAGGACTGTTGCCCGTAGTGGTTCTGGGGCGGTGTGTAATTGGAGAACCCAACGTTCGAAAAGAGGAAACCCGGCTGGTTCCTGTCCTCCTGGCCGTTATCCTCGCTGTAGCAGGTCTCTCTGAAGGTGTACAGGTCCAAAGAATCCGCTCTAAACAACACAAGAATCCTCACTTTCCACCCTAATTTTCCACCCGTTTTTCTTACCTATCCGGCAGCTGCCCCGGCCCCTCTCCGGGGGCCCCGTAATGAAGATTCGTGAAGCTGCCGGTGTGCACGCAATTCTCCGCTTCCACATTGGTCGCCAACGGCACGTCCCGCAGCAAATTATTGTTATATTTACTCGGCGCTTTGGCGGGAGCGTGACCGCTCTCCAGCACCCCCAGCAACCTCTCGTTGTCCATCCAACTCGGACAGGCCTCCTTGTTGTCCGACTTCTCCTCCTTCTCCTTCTCCAGCTCCAACCTGCGACGATACGAATGATGATAATAGTGAAACTAGAGCTGGTAGAGTGCGATAGTTACCTCATTAATGTGTGGATGAAATGAGTACGCACTCTGACCGGATTGAACTCGATCCGGCCGCTGGAGTTGCCGCAATTGTCCCTCGAACAGCCGCAGGGGAAGTTGAGCCGGTCCACCTGGCACTTGATGCCCGCCTGGCTGCAGGAGCACGTGTCCGGATCGCAGTAGCCCTTGCAGCCGCAGCCGCAGAACTCGCGCGACGTCCTGATGGTCCGGCAGTCGTCCTTCTCGACGGCGTCGATCTTGCGGACGCCGGCGGCGCGCAGGAGGGCGCGCCGCTGCCGCGTCGGCACCGGCTGCAGGAAGTGGTAGTTGTCCGGATCGACTTCGGTGTCGCTGGCCTCGCTGATTTCGTCCTCGCTGTCGCTCTCGTCGCTCGACGTGCCCGTGCCTGCGAACGAAACGAACCACCTGTACAACTCCGGTTATACAGCGAATCGAGAATATAGTACCGCTGGTTACGTTCCGTTCCGATTTGAGTTGTTGCAGTAGTTGCCGGTGGATTCTTCGTTGCTCCGTGGCGTGTTCGCTGATGGAGAACTTCCGCACGTGCGAATGTTGAGCGCCCATTCCTGCAACGGATAGTTCGAATAAACGTTCGTAGAAGAAATATAAGCGAGAAGAGGTTGTACCTAAAGTGGAACCTCCTTGGGACGGTACGCAGGTGAAGCCTTGCGCTCGGGGGAAATAGAAGACGGTCACGCTGTCGAACGTGATGCCTTTCCTCTTCTTGGTCTCGGGCTCGTCGGCGGCGGCGGCGGCGTCGGCGGGCGCCTTGCGCTTGAGGCTGCTCTTCTTCGAAGCGGCCGGCTGGAGCGCGGCGAACTCGTCGAAGTGCGCGTTGGCCAGCGTGCCGTACAAGAAGGAGGATTCGATGGCGGCCATCTCCGGCGGTCGTTCCTCGCTCAGCTCGGAGCCGAGGCCGGAATCGGAGCCGTCGGAGCGGTCGTGCGGCTCCTCGATGAGCTCCTCGGTGGGCGGCAGGCTCTCGGTGGCCGAGTCGTCGCCGTCGCCGGCGATTTCCGGTTCGCCGGCGGCTATTGCTTTGTCGTTTGATTTCTGCTCCGAGGGGTCTGCGACGATCGCAGCGGAAGGTGCGTTCTGCAATCGATAATATTGTAGCAACAGGTTTAGTTAAAAGTGGGTAACGATCGTACCTCCTCTCCGGAAACGGGAGTAACTTCTTCGGATTGGTTTTGGGATTGTTGTGGAGCATCGGGGACGTGCTCGGTGCTTTCGTGAACCTGTTTTTGGTCGTTTGATTGTTGCATTTGGTCGTGGGCGAGTCGCCCAGATTCCTCGCTATCGGTTTGATTATCCATGGCGATTCGAGGTGATATTAACGATTCTACAGACGATGCGTTAGTACCCATGTATGATTGTTGAGTAACATGCGCTTCCCTACCAGAACCATTCTAATCTGGAAATAACATATTCACACCCTAAGTTTTCGTGGAAATATCGGGGTGTTTTCCACCCTACGGCGATTATAGTCAATCTCTGTTATTTAGTATCGATTTTAGATATCTAATTTTCGATGCAAATTAGAGGTAATATTCGATCCGGGTGCTCTTGGTGTGTACCGGAGGTTCGCGCGTTTTGTATTTACAACCGATACAATGTAATACGTACACAAATATAACGAAAGTTGCGCTATAACCTTGTACGATAAAAATATACACCGACGCATTTCGGCGATCGAGCTGGCTGTTCTACGCGATTTGAGCGTTAACGAAATCGAAGAACTCCGCTGGATAGGGAAATTTCATTCCGTGTTGTAAGTGGGACGGGACGATAAATTAAGCGGAGGAACTTCGAGGATTTTAAGGATAATTTCGAGTGTTATTGGTCGAGTAAATTGACACCTTCTTATCAGCGAGTTTTATTAGTATTTATTAGTATACTAGAGTCTTGTTTGTGTGTAGAAATTGTAAGGTAATTATTTAGATTTAGAGGATTTTTCGTGGGGAAATAATTTTCCGGTTTGGCGAATTTTCGATCGAGCTGTGGCAGCCTTGACGGTGCGAAAAATTCCGTCGGTTTAGCGCGCAAAAGTAAGCCAAGTACGAGGAACAGTTAAAAAGGCACATTATTAATAGACCGTTGCTTAAGACATCAGTGAGGTAATGTTCCATCTATCTCGCATCGAAAACTGTATTATTAAAGTTGCGAAACGTCCAATTTTAGCTCCGGCCGAACCGTTTGTAAAGGCATAGTATTTCAAATTATTCGTAAAAGTATTCGTTGCTATCTGACAAGGTTATCTTCGCTAATTATCGGATACTTTCCAAGTTTGATTTAATTAATATTCTCGTTACTCCGCAGCTTTTCTACCAGCTAAAATTATTTGTTTTTTCTCCCAACTTGTATCGAATCTCACTCGAGGATCCTCCACAATTTCCTACGCATTTTGGAGGTAGAAAGCTCTACTAAGAAAAACTCTAATAGAAAAGAAAACTTCCCTAAGAGCTAAGAGTCTAATAGAAGTTAATAAAAACAGAAATTTGAATTCAAATCGACCGGCGCGTGTCGATCTCTAAATATTCCTTCGCCATAATCTAAATTTAACGAAGTATGCGTATATGCATGTTGTGCATTGAAAGGTAATTTTAGAATTCGGTTTGCGGCGCATCTCTTCACGAAATAGCCGGAATGCCGAACGTTTGGGAGATGCCATAATTAGTTTTCGTCTATTGGTTTTCAATAAGTTTGTTGCCGAGGAAATTGTGGAATTTTGTTGTTGTCGAATTTACGGTTTTATCGAAGTAGGCTTGAATTTGTGATTCATTGATAAATTTTTTTAACAAAATTGTATTATTTTTTTAACTACTTCTAATGTTATGGTATCTACAAGTAGATGAATGATTGCACTCCTTTGCCTCCAGGACTATTTTCTTTCTTGGAGTATGTCTGGTTCGCTTTTATCTAATTAGAATAACGTTTAAAATCAACATCCTAAATACTCCGATAAATAGATAATGGATGTTTCTCAAACAAATCCCGAAAACGGATTGCTAATTTATTATTCATCGCGCATTCCCTGCTAGAACTAATTAGGAAAATGCTAAAAATATCTAATCTAATCGTACGTGTAATGGCGATAACGCGGGCGTTCGTTACATATCACTGCATGCGAAAAGGAAATCGAATTAGAGAAATGCTGTGATTTTAGAAAATTTATCGAGGAAATCGCAAATAGAGGAAAATAAATGACATTTTGACAACTGTCATTTTTTGGAAGTGTTTAATCCATCTCGGTAGATAATTTCACAGCCTACTTGAGATAAATTTTTTCAATGGCTCTTGTGCAGAAATGCAGGTATTTTATTGCATCGAGAAAATCGTAGGTAAATGAAGGAAAAAAATACACAAAAATATGACATTTTTGTATTTCGCTTATGTATAAAAGATTTTGATAAATGTCATTTCGATAACTGTCATTTAAAGTGTCAAAAAATCCAACTCAATAGATAATTTCACAGCCTACTTAAATTAAACTCTCTCAATGGCTCTCTTGTAGAAATGCAAGTATTTGATTGTATCGCGAAAATCGTAAAAAATTCACAGCATACTTGAGTTAAATTTTTTCAATGGCTCTTGTGTATAATGCAGGTATAGTTTTAATCGGGAAAATTGTATAAATATATTTCACTCATGTATAAAATATTTTAATAAAATGTCAATTCGATAACTGTCATTTTTTGTAAGTGTAAAATTCACTCAGTACATTAAAATTTCACAGCCTACTTAAGTTGAATTCTCTCAATGGCTCTTATATGAAAATGCAGGTATACTTAGGTATTATTTAAGACGCTCTGTATAGGAACAGTTGCGGTTCTACTACCTACCAACCCCTAAAAAAAATAAGGACAGGTGGTGTGTGTGTGTGTGGTAGAATAGAACGTTCAGTGAGGTAGAAGAATGAGGAACTCGCCTATACATACGCGATCGCCACAACATTTCGCTACGCCCTGTATATACGAAACTACATTTTACAATAAACTTGCACTAGAGCAAGCCGTCGTCGGTTTGTCGGTTTTAAAATAAAACGAGAATCGCCCGTGGAGCTTTTATCAACGGCTGCCATAGAGGTCATTTTCGGACGTGCACGCACGGTGAATGCTTTAGCGCTTTACCTACTTTCGACCGAATGTGCCTCTCGCACTCTCCGCGTACGAGTCGAGCGGTTTTCGCTGGAAAAGGTATTGTTCGGGGAAAAAGGCTTCGAGAAAAACGAAAAAACGCGAAATTTTCGACCGGGCGCATTCGATTGGTCTGCACCGGTGACGTTCCGAGCGCGTCACGGCAACGCTCCGAACTGAAATTTAAACAAACAATTTATTTACCTGAATGACGTCTCGTTGACATTTGGATATTCAAACACCTACAGTTTATTTATTTTTTTCTTTTTCCGCAATTTTTCTCGCACTCTCGTAAAGTAACCTTCTGAAAGGTCGATTTGCAGTTCCGTCGGATCGATCACAAATTTCCGCCGATTTTTCGCTCGGGGGCTATTTCGCACCCCCGATGATCGCTGGCGTTTTCGCGGCACCTTCGTCGCACTCGAATGTATTGTTTAAAAGTAATAAGTTCATTGTACGAAATATCGAAGCATTCGAAGCGGCAGTTTTCAACTTGTGGACTAACATCCAGTGCGCGTTGAGAAACCTATCGGCAGCGCAAGCGTAAAGGCAGCCTTAGCACTTCGCCTTGTTGCCACATCGTCAATACTCTCGCCTACTTGTAGATTTCTCTACTATTTTTGACACATTTCAACTACTTTTACTCAACAATAATAACTTATTTAGACAATTTAAGCATAAATAATTAGTTATTTCTAATAATTTGTCAATAAAATCGTGTAATATTCACAAAATTCCATACGATTTAAAATTAAAAACAATCCATGTGAATATTCTACATTAGTGCGGCAACGTCGCACGATGAATGACGTTCTCTGGTTTTGTTGAAGGAGGAATTTCAACGAGAGAATATGTATAGAGTTGGAAGGATAAATTTATCTAGAGATGGCGCTTGCCAATAATACAGTTACTCGATAACTGTTACTTGACTATTTTCTTCGCAGCGTTCTTATCTCATATAGAAGCGCCATTCTATTAATACGAAATTATCAATAGTGATATCAGTAATACGCTGAGAGGTCACTATAACGTAAAACAACTAAGTAAATCGGTAGATTCATAATGCAGGTATAACAGAAAATTCATAGTTAATTTTATTATCAAGACATTTATAACAAACAGCACGTTATTCGCTAATTAATGTTAGAATTAGTTAAATTAGTTACGCACAAAACCTAATTTACATGTTAATCGTGAATAGATAATAAATATTTTTCTTGTTCGTGTTGTCTTCTGTTGATATTTTCCCTAGTTTTATTATTTTCTCCCTAATTAATTTGATGTTTCTAACTCAAATAACTGGCAACTCTTCAATTCGGCCATCTCTGTCAATTCGAAGTGTTGAACAAAGAAGGATAATTAAAATAACAGTGGTTAGAGGGAGAAAGTTGCAATTACACAATGGCACTCTTTCTTTTTTCTTTAGACGAGAGTAATGGAAGTCGTCTTTGTCGCATCCTATAGTGTATATTGCAAACAATTTTGCATCTATCTATCTCTTATCTGTTTATTTACCTACTATAAATATAAATGGTCAATAGTTCCATTTAACTGAGGAAAATTAGGAATGGTTCGACAGCTAAGAAACGGGCGAAGGAAACAATCAAATAAACAATAATCGATCTGATCCGATTCGGCGGCGGCGGTGCCGAAATGAGAGAGCTAAGTCGGATTATGCCGGATTTGGGGCTCCGGTCGTCGCGGAAAAATGCCGCTTCCGCACAAAAGGAAAAACCGGCGCGAAGTGGAAGCGACAATAAGAAGAAAAAAACCGGCCCGGAACGTATAGAAAAGTGTCGAAGACGGAAAAATGGGTTTCCGTTAAATAAAAATAAAGTTCGGATTTCCAGCGCAGGAAAGTTCTCGCCCGTTTCGCGACAGGTAATCCGGATTTCTAATAAAGATAAGCGGGATTGCAGCTAAAGCAAGATGAGTGCGACAGATTATTATTAGAAACACGCTAAATCCTCGATATGCTTGAAAAAAATTACGACGTGACAACACCGCTATTCAATTTGTACCGTCACTTAATTAACTAGGATATTTTACAAACTTAACAGATGTCAAAAGTGACAGGTGTCAAATTTGACAGAAAATAATGCTAAATGCAATTTTTCTAGAACAGCATTATTCGTTTAGTTGTTAGAATGTCAAAAAAATTGTCTAAAATACCATATTTGTTGGTATATTGACTATTGTTGCTATTGATAAATGTCAAATTTGACAGAAAACAATACAAGTATTAATAACAATTTGCCTAAAACAGCATACTTGTGTATTGACAATTGTTGCAATTGACAGATGTCAAAAATGACAGGAAACAATAGTAATTGCAATAAAACAAAGTATTCGTGCATAATATGGTGAACTTGTTTTCATAAATAAACTCATTACGAAATAATTTAATCGTTTTTTTAAGGAATTCCAATCATCTTATCGGCTTGTTATTAATTTCGGAACACCCGAATCGGTGCGTAACAATACTTCTACTGATGCTCGGGGATGTCTTCGCGTGGTGAAATGAAAAGTTTCGTTTCGTCCTCTCTATCGCAGAGATAGATAAATGTCCCAACGGATTCGAGTGCAACAATGTCAATTAAATGACGTGTTTCTATTTTAAATGAAGCAGTCATTACCTCGATAAAACCGATTCGACGGCCGTGGAATATCTGCTATCGGATGATTTAATTCGGAATTCGTAGTCACTCCCGAGGAAAATCGATGATTAAGAATAAAAACTCGCTTTCCTGGTATGTATCTATATACAGCACGGGGGTTGTTTTCGCGATTTTCAGATAGACTATTGGACCCGCGAAATTTCGGAATTCGCACAATTACAGAGCAGGATAAGCTAATGAAATCAATTAATCATCGATTGCAGCGGGTCGAACGCGTTTCGTTTTAATGGAAACAAAAGGTTATTTATTTATTGGTGTCGAAACCCAGTTGCAGGCTTTATCGCCGGCACGGCGAATATGTATAAACAAAATTCACAATTTCACTTTGCCATATACGCCTCGCCTGCATCCTGCTCGCCTGATACAAAATATTGCTAGAAATATTAAACAATTTGTTAAATTCGCGCACAATTCGACGTATAATAGTGTTTTATTGGAAGTCAAAAATTTGCTCGAAATCGTTCATAAATTTACATTTATTCCTAATGTACCTATACAAGTTTTGATAACCGATAAAAGTTATTTCCTGTATTGATTTTTGTATAACTACTTATACAAGTTTAATCAATTTCAATTCGGTTAATTAACAACTAATAAATTAACTAATGATTATAATTTAGAAATATATATCAGGAGTTTTCCGCGTATAAATTTACGTGTATACGAAATTTTTCCGCATATATATTTTCCGGCTTTGCCGGCGCATTTCCCATCCCCCGTTCGCTTATTTCTACCTAATAAAAAAACCCGGAGGAAAATAAAACGGTGAAATGCAGCGATAGACGTGCCCGACAACAATGAACTTTTCCTCGGGTAGTTTTTCGCGAAAAATCGGGCAACAGTCGTCGCGAATTCGAGGAACGCCGGGAATTAGAGAAATGAGTTTTCCGAACGTCTGAATGGGTTTTATTCCGTTTTCGGGTTTCCTGCGTTTGAAGTCGTTTTTCCCAAAGACCGTCTGGATGGTCTGGATATTAGAATTTGATCAGATCATCGTCGAGGAAACGGCGCTGCAAGCGATTTTTCCTCGAATAAAAATTCTACCTACAGTCGACTAAATCATTCTTGAATATTCCAAAATCAATTTTACCATGCAATCACAATTATAAAGTATAAGAGAACTGTTAGAAGATTTTATATCCAGAACAGAAATATCTACCATAGTCTATTCGCCATCAGGCTTCGAGAAGTTTTATTACTATTTCCTGAATGAACAACTAACTTAATATCATGCAGAAATACTCCTCCATTTAAACCCACAAATAAATCCAACAAAAAAAGTGCACATCCTGAAGAAACCTCCTTATTCCTTACGCACTTGTTGCGGTCCGCGAGTTCCACAAGTGTTCAATTAAAATAGTTTACTGCCGATTTCCCGGCGGTTGCTCCGGCGTTTTCGGCCTTCCTAATGACTTCCAAACCTTTTTAATCGACCGATTAGGCGGGCGAGCTGTTTTGGAAATCGCCCGGCCGATAAGATAAGGTGCTAAACGACGCACGAACGGGCCAGGACTCGATCGGTGGATAAACGGCAGGAGAATTGATGGTAGAATTGGAGTGTATACAATGCAATAGATTCCCACAATGATCAAAATAAGTACCTATAGGTATTTGCAAAAATTGGAAGGGGAGATGGAGTGTATAGAAAAATAGCACCAGTTTAGGTGTAATTATAATCTATCAATATAATGTAGGTAATTGGAAGATTTGTGGATGGAAAATCTCTTCTCCAACGAGACCCATTCGATACCACTGCACCATTTGCTATCCTGCAGTGCTGTGGAAACGATCGTACGCCGAAGTTCGTTTCGTGTATTAATACACCGAAAGTGTAACGCCGGCATAAATTACGCCGCCCCCGGGGCCGAGGGGGCGGCCGCCCGGCCGCCCCCTTTTCGATCAACGCGAGCGGCGCCGACGAGCGTCGGACGCGCTCGGCGTCGGTCGATCCGTTATTTTCCCGTATTGATTATCCCTAAAAACTCTTTTCCTGGCGGAGATTTAAGGGCGAGATCGCCCCCAACGGGCGCGTGTAGGGGCGACAGGAGCACGCCGAGTCGCGGGAAATGTGTTTGTATGTCAAACGGGGACGGTGGGGTTTAGTTGGGGATTTTGTTTGCGGGGGTTTTTAAAGTTTGTTTCCCCGGGGAAGGGCGGAGAAGTTGGTAAATGTAGTGATGGATTTAGTGTATTTTTTCTTTGATATTGTATCACTAAATTTGGTGGTTTTTAAGAGTTAAAAAAAAGAAGCTATTTTTGAAATTTATTAGTGAAAATGACACAAATAATCAAGTAATCTATACTCAAAGGGAAGTTGATTGACTGGTGCAGTTTTTTGCGTAGGAAGTCTAAATTCAGAGCCGTTCGGTGGAAAGCACCAGAAAATTAGCCGGTATCGATTCGAACTATTCGTATTTGTTCAATAGAAAAAAAACACTAAGCGCTCTTTTCGCAAAGCACCGAAACCCCCCGCGCTAAAATTAAATTGGATTTTCCCAGCGAATTCGACTGTGAGAGAACCGCCGCTTGTAAATTTTGACCTTGTCATCCGATTCCCGATGCTCGTCACTTTCAAAGTTTCGATTCTCAGCCCGGAAGTTTTTGCGTTCGACTCCGACTTGTTTGTGGGTCGAGTCTTTGACGGACATCGAAAGTTTTCCATGTACTTTCCCGATGGCATTTCTGTTTGTTTCGGAACTTCTTTAATGCCCAGTTGGAGTTTATAACTGGATGATTAGGTAAGCTGGATTTGGGAGGTCAAAAATTTACGATTCTTGGGTTCACTAAATTCAATTGTGGAACTAATTAGGATTTGAATCGATTCTACATAAAAACGGGGTAATTAATGGTGTGTAATTACAAGCGATTACACGCCACGAACGGCTCATCAATCTATCCAGCAGTAATATCAGCAGGAATAGTTGGATAACGGCCCGTTTTCAACCATTACGAATTTATAGACACTTAACGTTCCGTGTTGCATTTCATCCGTATATACTCTCCACTTCTATCCGTCACTTGTTGCCTGTCAAACTTCCACAAGTGCCTTCGTTTAATCATCCAGATTTTGTTGTATACTTTTTGAACGCCCTGTATAAGAAATTAGGTGCACCCAGACAAAGGGATTCCTAATTTTGTACAGCGCCATGTTGGCTACAAGTACAAACTTTTTAAATTAAACCCGTTCCATGGCACAGAACGATATCATCCAGAAACAATCCCATCCCCTCTCCGCCGCGTGGCGGTTTTCGAAGTGTCGAACAGAAACCCAAAAAAAAAACATACAAACGGCGCAAAAAACCGGTCGGCGAATGTGGCACACAAAGAAGCCCGCGTTGGGGGGCCGGTTCGCCGCCCCTTCGGCCGCCCCACCACCACTGCAATGCAATATATTTCGTCTATACGTGAAATCAATGTGTAGAGCGGTTGCTAGGGACGACCGGCGTTGCCGTGGCGACGGCGACGTTGCACGGACGCCATAACTCACCGCAGCGCCGCCCGCGGACGCCGCGGGAACGTCCCCTCTCGGAGCTTCAAAACCGATGCGATGTACCGGCAGGTACTAATACTAACCCGAACGGGTTCCGGCGTCGCGACGCTTCGGGCGGATGCAATTCGCGAAATTCGGCGCAACAATGGGTAACTGGGGCACGTCGGAATGGGGGGGAGCGGCGCAGCCGCCGAGGCCGCTTCGGCAACGGGACTCGTCAAAGGCGACTCGATATGCAGTTCGATGCACAATTTTAACTAAATTCGAAACGCGACGGTGGTAGTTACAAAGGGCGCGCGGGAAGTTCGGTCGGCGGCGGAGGGAGGGGGCGGTTCTCCAGAATCCGTTGGTATAAACCGTGAATATGTGCGGATTTATTCTGGTATAATATATCGGCATCGACGTGGGTAGTTTGAATACCTACGTATTTCGAGTAGGTGTAAGAATAGAGTTGGAGGATTAGAGGATTGTATGGCCTTTGACTGTTTAGGGTTTTTGGTTCTATCTGGTGCAGTTGCCTGTTAAATTTTCCGCAGCTAAATTTTCCTTTGTTTTCGATTAATTTCGTTACTCGTTCAATTTTAAAGCATCTTACAAACCTTCAGGATATATCCTAAGCAGGCAAAATTTTCTTTCTACCAGATTTCTTTCTTATATGGTAATATTTTGAATGAAAACACCAATCAATCAGAATAGTTTCTCAATATGTTAAATAATTAGTTCCAGAATAGTTTCAAAAGAGTCCCAGAACAGTTCCACAATTATTCCACAACTTACATTAAATTTACTTAATATTCCAATTTAACCCAATATTGAATTTACCTAGAACAATAACATTTTAAAACTTATTATAGTTGGTGCAGTATATTTCATGGTAATATTTTGATTGAAACACCAGTCAATAAGAATGGTTCCTCAAATATTTTGATTGATTAATTCCAGAATAGTTCCAGAAGAGCTCCAGAATTCTTCCAGAATAGGTTCAGAATAGTAGGTATATACCAGAATAATTCCAGGACAGTTTCAGAACAACTCCAAAGGAGTTCAATGATTGTACATGAATAATAGTTCCGCAGATTAGTCCCAGAATAGTTTCAGAAGAGTTCCAAAAATAGCTAAATAACCAAATTTTCAATTTCCCCAAAACTGCCTTCTAGAACTTACAACGAGTACAGTTCGAGATAAATAGCTAGATACGCTCTAACATCGCCTCTGCGCACTCGCGTCTCTAGCTATACTCATCGAACCGTAGGTGCACCTACGATTAGCGTAAAACTGATGCAGGTATAGCGGTTTTAGGAGGGAGTAGTTAGGTATATTTAACGTCATAAAATTATCTAGGTAAACGTTTAATTAACTAATTGAACGTCGAATCGGTATTAACGATAAATGAATATTCGTAGGATAATGCAGGACGTATTATTGCGATGGCGATGAAACGACCAATCAACCGCAAAGGCCCGTTCGACGAAATGCGAGGATTAATTTGCATCGGATTAGCTCCAGTTTAGGCTCGTTTCGGGGGCCATAAACTGATAATCTATACGGCATATACCCGATAAGGATACGATGCGAAATTCGGTGTAGTTCATTCGGTTTTTTTTTCTTTCGTTCCGCTAATTGATTAGTAGTCTCGGGATAAAATGTAATGAAGTGATTAAATCCCGGGAGTTTCCAATCGCAATTAGATTCGTTTATTAGGCGTTCGCAGTGAAAAACAACGCGACAAAGCATTTATTTCGAACTTGATTGATGAATTAATGATGCTCTGTTTACTGTTTGTACTGGCGCTATTACGTTAAAACATCCATAATAACTGGAATTACACGAAACAATACGCCAACCCTGACCTATGTAAACCCTGGAAAATTTAATAACCTCATCGAATATTCCGATGATGGCTCTTTTTACTGGAAAAAAATTCGGATCGATGGAATATGGAATTAATCGGTTTTTATACAGTGTGTTATTTTTCAAGAATAATTGTTTGCTAAACGAGAATTTTGACAAAAGAGTTTGCTAGTAGGTATGTACAAAGAAGATAATGAAGGAGATTGGCGCATTAATTAATTAATAAAAAATATTCAGATTAATTTGGAGTGGTTACATTGAAATATAATAGTTGAATAAAGTTTAAAAAAATAATTTACATAATTACTTATTAATCTTATCAAACATTATCAAGAGTATACAAAAGTACTTCAAATGTTTTATCAATTTTTACTAATAATTAATTAAAAAATCGAAATGAATGAACAACTAAAAAATAGCAACATTTATAATAAACAATTTAAAATTTTCATAACCTACACTCCAATTAAAAAAACTCAAAATATAATTACACCGCCGATCACCCGCTCTAATTAAATTTACCCAGTTCAACAAACGAGCACACTAACCTGTCTCGATCCGCTCCGACGCCAGCCCTCGAAAGATGCCCGCCTCCGCCAGCGGCCGCAGACGATCGCTCGAAAAACCAGCCAAAAACCAGCCAGGACCCGCCAGGACCGGAGGGCGGCGCGTCGACGGACGTCGGTGGCGACAAGACGACTGACTGGAGGCGGCTACGGGGCATCATACGGGACCGCCGGTCCCGCCGCGCACAAGCATTACCGACACCTGCTGTACGATTTTCTTCTCGTCGGCCGGCCGCAGGACGCGCTCCTGCTCGGCGTTCGAGCCGGCGCTCCTTCGCCCACCGCCGCGCTCCTGCTGCGCTCCTGCTACGCGCTCGACGCGGATTCGATTGCGAGCCGCTCGGATTTCGAGACCGGTTCGTTAATTTATTCATTCGGACGCGTTAAATCGGGCCTGATCGATGCTAATGAATCTGAAGCGGGCTTTAAATAGCCGAGTAGATACTAATTGGTGACTAATAAATTAGTAGGTGCATAATATGTAGATATGTGTCAAATAAGAATGGGAGAAATTTGTAAGAAAAGAAGTGTTTTATGGAGGGATTGTTACTTTTAGTCCTGCGATTTTCCTTTCTTTATACCTCAAATTGGAGTGTTCTGTATGCAGGAAATCCAATTTTCGACGGGTCGATTGCTAATGAAGCGCCATATTAGGTACACCTATTCAATTATACACAAACATGTATAGAGGTGCTTCATTTGAAATTGGATGCACTTGATAAATATAAATTAATAGTTTTAATATATTATATCAACACATATTTATTTCCAAACACAAAATTTTACAAATATTCGCTAATTACTCATTCGTATAATTAATATAAATTCCTATACTTAATATCTAATTGACTAGCTGCAATCGAGTACGACACTTACAATTGTATTGCTAATTATATTGCTTCTAATTAATTCAATCGACGGTTAAATCCCTAACAAGTTCATCAGAGATTCCCTAATCGATTAGTTTGGCACAATTAGGACTCATATTTGTTACATAAACCATCTAAAACGTATCCTTACTAGATCAGTTTAATGCCTCAAAGGGAGATATTCAACCTCATCTCACCCTACATCTCCCTTTGAATTACAAAATTTAAAATAAATTCAGTTTAATTTCCTCTCTTCGGCGATGCCTAAACGGCCGCTCCGGGCCCGCCGGAGCCCTGCTCGCGCCCTCTCGCGCCGTCGGGCTGCAGCGACTGCTGCTGCAGGAACTTGGCGGCGGCGGGGAAGCCCTGCAAATCGAAGGCGGGCGGGGCGACGATGCCGGCGCCGACGGCGCCCGCCGCCGTCCCCTGCAGGTAGCCGATGATGCGCTTCATCTCCTCCAGCGCGTTGGCCTGCATCAGGATGTAGTTCTTGGCCAGCAGGAGGGTGGCTATCTTGGACAGCTTCCTGACGGAGGGCGAGTGGGCGTAGGGGATTACCCCTCTGGAAAGCGAGATAAGAATGTGTGGAAAAAGAATTTAGATGAAAAAAATCTGATTCTGAAATAAGTGGTCAAACTTTGGGAGCAAGTAGAGAACCTCAAAATATTTCAGTCATTTTTTCGAAATGTTCTTGGTAATTAGTATACAGGGTGTTAATTAATAAGAGTGACAAACTTCAGGGGGTGATTCTGTATGAAAAAATAATGATATTTTGCTGTATAAACATATGTTCGAAAATGCTTCGTTTTCGAGATACGGGGTGTTAAAGTTTCTTCTTAAAAACCGAAGATTTATTTATTTCTCTGAAATCAGACGAGATATTCAAATGAAATTTGGAGGGTTTTGAGAGGTGACTATTACGCGTTTTTTGACACTAAATTAAAAATTTTATGTTTATCATTGACGCGCATACGGGTAGTAATAAAATTTTTTTGAAGAAAAAAATAATATTGGTACGCCACTGAGGCAATTTTATTAAAAATTCAATTATGAATGAATTGCTCGTTCAATTTGTAACAAAAAAACTCTCTTGTGTTTTTTTCGTACGGGTCGCTGTTTTCGAGTAAAAAAATAAAACATGTTGTCGTGTATTTTTCATTTCTTCAAAACACATTATCCAGTAGTGAAGAAACTTTAACACCCCGTATCTCGAAAACGAAGCATTTGCGGACAAACGTTTATACAGCAAAATATCATTATTTCTTCATCCAGAATCACCCCCTGAAGTTTGTAACATTTATTAATTAACACCCTGTAGATACCTTAATTCATCCAGAGCGTCGTTCAGATCGTGCATCCTCCTCCTCTCTCTGGCGTTGATGTTCAACCGGACGGTTTTTCCCTGCCTGTTCTTCCCTTTGCTCGACCCCGGGTTCTGGGGATTCTGCAATCGCGATTCCTGCGCTCTAAAAATCATTAAAAAAAAAAAATCACTTCGTTTCCCATTCGAGCTCGTTAAGAGGTTTGTTCGCACCTGGCGCTCTGGCCGGAACAGCCGGGATCGGGGTTGTTCTCGTCGGACGGGGGCCCGTGGCCGACGATGTTCGGATTGGACTGGCCGCCCTGGAAGTAGAATCCGCTGAGGCCGACGGCGCTGAGCGGCGTCCGCCTGCCGGGCACCTGCTGGTTCTCCTCCGCGTTCGCCGGAAATTGCGGGAACCCCGCCGGGTCCAACGCCGAGGAGGCCGCCGGATGCGACGAACTCGGACCGCCCTAAACACAAATTAATTAGCATCTTATGAAGTGTCTTATTTGCCGCCCCCCGGCATCAATTCGGTTTTTTAAAAAGCGCTTCTTTAACGATTTTTTGATGAGATGAAAGAGATCTGCTTACCGCCGCTTGCCAGCCCCAGTTGGGGCCGCCCGCTCGCAGCCACTGCGGCGGTTCGACCGCCCCCCGTGCGATGGCGTGCATGGTGGGTTCGTCGCCTTCCGAGGACGATTCGCAATCGAAGGATTTCATTTTTTTGAATGAAGGATTTAAATGATTTTTCGTCGGTTTTTGGCTGGTTTGGTGTATCGATTTTTGGTGTATATTTACAGTTGAATTATCGCATTAGAGTTTATGTTTGCAGGTTGTTAAGTAGCACATATCACAAAATTTTTTTATATCACTGTTTCACTTATTTAATAGGAGTATAATTTCATTAACTAACATAAAATTCGCACATTTTCATAGGAGGCTGTACGATCGATTTACTGGCCGGTGTTTTACTTTACTTTTCCGGTTACCACCGTTTCGCATATTATACTCACGATTCCTTCATGGTTTTTATCGGATTTCGCTGCGATTTATCACTGTTTACACTGCGCGGAATATTCGCATTAGAAGGTATCGATCAGAAATGCAAACTAAAACTAATAACTAATAAACACAGCGACACTAAACAAGAAACTAGACTTGAAAAATTGACAGATGCGACCCCATACAGCCGATGATCAGAGGGGTTAGAATCCGCGCACGGAGAACGAGGGGCGGCCCGAAGGGGATGTTTATTTCACCCTTCAGTGATACGTTATAAAGAGAGTTTTAATGACTTATTCTGGGTGGATTAAATAGATGTAAGATTTGAAAAATATATTATAGTTTGTACCATAATTGAGGAAAAGTTATGCAAATTATAGTGATAGTTTTGAATTTATTTATTTATTTTTAAGAATATGAAAAATTGCAGTGTTCTATGAAAAAATTACTATTTCAATATTTTTCAGAAATAATTATTATTTATAGGTAGGTATATTTTTTCATGAAAATTGCTCGTATACTTTTCCATTTTCGGGCGGTTTACGCCACTGTCAGTCGACTGCGATTTTATTGTGTAAACCACCCCCTTGTCTAAAATAAGGGCACTAAAGAGAACAAAAGAGAATGCCGTTGCCCTGGCAACGAGGGATGAAACTCCGTGGCGAAACTTGCACCGCCATCTATTCGAATTTAGCAACACTGCATATTAAATAATTGAGTTTTTTATCGTTATACGCTACAAAATATTAAAATTGTAATTTTTAATACACGTTTTGTTTAAAATAATATTGAAAAAATAAAAAAAAATATTTGTCAGAAGTGGGATTCGAACCCACGCCCACAGAGTGGACCAGAACGCTCGAAACCTGGTAAACCAGGCAAGGTTATCCTTGAGTCTGGCGCCTTAGACCGCTCGGCCATCCTGACAACTATTCGATGTGAATTGAAACTGTCTTATAAATAACACTATTTTTTTTATAAATAAACTAGGTCGAAAATATCTTATCAACACTCCCGCTAATTATAAGCACGCTAATCGACGTAAACAGAATAATAAATCACAATTTATCACGCGATAAAAACGATACTCGCTATTATGCAAATATCGCCATCTATTATCACGATATGAACTTTTAGTTGCTGTTAGTTTTAATAGATGTCGCTAGTGTTTCAATTTTTCTTTTTTTTACGACTTTCCATCTAATTTTCCGAGTTTTGTAGCATTATAAAAGTTTAAGTATATAAAATAACAAAGTGATCGAAAGATGTCACTTCAAATTAGCAAGATAATTGCCAATTAACTACCCAAGACGAGTACTTAAAAAAATTTGCATTAACTAGTGTAATAGTGTTTACTAATTACACACAATTTTAGCATATACATTGCTCCTCAAACTGCATTTAAGGCATTACAAAAGCGACTTCCCGGCCGTCCATCGCCCCCATTAATCACCGGCGGTCCTAATTAGCGACTTAATAAACCCGGCCCGGTAAATTGAATGCGTGATTTACGAGGCCCCGCGTTAAGATAACGTCGCGACGCTTAACGCCGTGACGCTTAACGCCCTCACGGTCGCCGGTTAGCGTTCAGTCAGCGCGCCTTCCGCCGCATTTGCCGCACTGAATGGGGCCGGTGCAGCGGCCGGGGACGGGCTGATAAGGCGGCGGCCGGGGACCCGCCGGGCGCGAACGAAAGTGGATTAAAATTCAATAGTCCTGAATGGCCGGCTGATTAAAACGGAGGACGAGGCGGAATGGAGTCCCTGCTCGATGTGTTGGATCGAGTTTGATGTGTATGAGTTTGGTTTTTCTGGCTAGATGGAATGTTGTTGATAAGGATCATCTGGAAATGATGGCTGTAGATATTTTGTAGGAGTAGGAAGGATCGTTTTTGAAATTGTAGCGATGGTGGAATTGGAATGAGGTGGTTTAGTAATGAGTAATTTAGTGTTTTGTAATGAGGTGTTCTTTGGAGGAGAGTACGAGTTTTTTTACTATCAAATAAACTGCTGCACAAAAGTTAAGGAAGTTCGCAAATTTTGCGATTATTTTAAAAGTTACAGACTTTTTGATCACCAAATTTTCAAATATGCGAAATTAATCGTTTTTTCTCATATCTGAGTGGATTTTTTTGTCCCTTCCTCTACAACTCATACTAAATTTGGCGATCAAAAAACCTGCAACTTTTAAATTAATCTCAATATTTGTGAACTTCCTTAACTTTTGTGGAGCAGTATATATTTTGTACAGTATTCTGGGTCTTTTCTAAAGTAGATAATCCTAATAATTAGGATTATGTTGAGATCTATAAACTTTTCCTATCTTAGAAAAACTACGATTTATTTCTTACAGTACTAGAACAATGCCCATTCGAATAAATTTTGCTCAACATTATATCTTTCCCAAAAATGGCTAAATATAGCTCTGCTTAACATGTAGGAAGAATCATCTCAAAACGTGACCGGAGATTAGAATTCCAATAAGATCTAGCTATTTCAAAAGTTCCCTACTTTTCCCATTTTTCAACAGGAAATGCATTTTTCTCAACATTCCATCTTTTCCGAAAATAATTAGTAGCTATCAGTTATTAGCTAATTACAAGTAGAAAAAGGATCATCTGGAAAAATGAGTGAAGATTAGAATTACAACAAGATTTATTTCAAAAGTTGTTAACTTTTTTTCATTTTCTCATCAGAAAATGCTTTTTTATTAATATTAGTTCTACCCTGCTTCATCTACTTGTTCATCTAGCAAGATTCATCTGTAAAGTTACCAAAATGATCTTTTCATCTTCCTTGAAAATATAAATCAAATATGCATTATGTAGTGTATGCCAATTCCTTTTCGAATGAATTGTCCTTATTTTCCTCCTTAATTTTCCTTACTCATTAACTCTAATAATTATTATTGCAATATATGATTTGTTCTTTTGATTCTTTTCTCAATTTTTTATCAATGCATTTTCCACAACATTCCATCTTTCCAAAAATTCCCCTATTACCTCAGCTTTCTATGTATCTAGCAAGAATCATCTCAAATAGTGAGCAAAGATTACAATTCCATGCAATAGTTCAAAAGTTCCCAACTTTTCTCATCATCAAATTAACCTTCCTCATTCCCAAAACTCCTCATTAGCTACTTTACAACTAGCAACGATCACCCAGAAAAGCATCCAACGATATACTCTAAAACCCATTTAGAAACTTCCCTCATCTTCCTTAAAAAAACCCCCGCAACTTTCTACCAACACCCATTCAAACATCTTGCATCTTCACCAAAAAAAAAAACAACAACAACCCATTTCCCGTAACCCCTTTCTCACTCCAACGCCCACCGATCCCGCCCGTCCAATCTCCGCTACCCCTGCACATCCGACGACATTCCCGCCGAAAATTACGCCGATCTATAGGTCAACGCGGCGACCTCGGCTCCTTCGTCATCATCGCCACATCATCTTTCCCATCCGCAGTGCACGCAGGAACCCGACATCATGTAACCAACGTCTTAAGCCAGCTTCGACTTCCATGCGGTCGCCATGGCGACGCCATAAAGATCGATGCCGGCCCCTGCCCTGCAGCCTCGCAGGGGGCGAGAGGCGGCGCTCGACGGGAACGATGCTGCGTGTGTGTGTATGTGTGTGTGTGTGTACCGTGCAGCGGCGTCCGGGAAGGCTTCTCTTTGTATTAATAACCGGATGGTTCTATCGCGGGAACAAAGGGATATCGAATTTGGCTTGTGTGTGTGCGTTTGTTTGAGACTGATAGCGTTTGATTAGATATGTAATTATTATGGAGATTATTTTGATGGATGATTTATGTGGATGCATTATTAGATATATTATAGAATTAGTAAAATTAAGACCACATTTTTTGTATATGTACTTCAACGAAGGTAGCTTGGTAGTTGAAATTCAATTGAGTCAAGCTACTTTGAATGAGGTAGGTATATTGCTGCAATATTAGGAATGAGTAGATAGTGTAGGCATATAGTTTATTTGAAATGTTGCGTTAAAATTAATCATTGTAACAATTTAAATATAGCGTGCAAAAGAGGTGTAATTTTTTTTTTAATTATTCCTTCTTCCGTGCAAGTTTGTTCGAGTTAATCGCGACATTACGCCCTAAATTCGAGGACTACTCGGATTTAAATAGCAATTTTTCAGCTGGTGCTCGTTAAGAATTCGCCCAGAAAAGCGGTAGATTTTTCATTCGCACCCAAACGGAGAGTCTTCGATCCTGCTCTAACTCAACGATCGAGAGGGGCTCGGGGACCCCGCCGGAGCGCGCCCGCTCCTTCGGCCAGGTGGATGCGAATTTCGTTAGCGGTCGTAATTAATTTCTGAACAACATCTCTCGAAAAGCGATTAAACGCCGGCCCGGCCGGAGGCGGCGGCGGGGCGGCGGCCGGTCGGGGGCGGTAGGCGTGCCCGGCTGTGTATCGGGCGTGGGCGGCTCGCTGTCTCGCAGCAGCTGGTCGCCTTGGCGACGGTCGATACCGCGACTACCCGGCCAGATATTGATCTCTGGATCCGGAGCCCGGCGAGAGGAACTCTCCGGCAGTTTTCGGGCGCGAGCAGCGGCGTCGTTCCGGCCGCCATCTCGCATCGACGCAGGCTCGTAAGTATCAAATTTTCATTCGATGTTGAATATTTTAATATCGCCGACGGCGATTATTGCCATTGTTCGAATGCATTGTTCGATATATATGGCCGTTAATTTATTCCATTTTCTGGATAGGGTTTTGGTTGTTTACCGCGCGAATTCCAATGCAAACGCTGCGTTAATTACGTTTGCTAACCCCGCGCTGATTATATAAATATAAACAAACAACTCGTCTAAATGTTAATTAGCTAATGCGGAAATTGATAAAACGATTTTTTGTAATGCCTATAAAGGAAGTCCGTGTTGAAGCGGAGGGAGATAAGAAGAGCAAGGTCGTCAATGGCGCAATATTCATTCTGGGAGCGATTTCGCCTCGTGAAGGGTTATCGGGGGCGCTAAAGGGCGGATATTCTCTTCGACGAATTTTATTGAGGATCTGCAGTGCTCTCGATTCCGACAGGTACACACTCATAGAGAGGTCCGGGAGATTTTGCTTTTAGCCCGGAATTATTTCGCATCTGGCAAATAAATCGATGCCCATCCGGAATATGTTCGCCCTCGCATAAACATCGGACACGGAAAATTGGGTTTTGTGTTATATTTTTTATTCTTTA